TCAGGCACAGACTTTGTTTCTCTCAAGCCAAACCAGCTTAAAATGAAATCCATCTACAGAATGAAATGGATTTCCATTTTCTTGTGTCTACCTGCTTTCCCCCTATATCCTAGAGTTACTCATTTCTAGCAAACTAGAAGGGAAGGGCACGAATGCCTAGCAATACTTCCCTCATTCCATATAACCCTCTTTGAATGCCTCAGCTCATATGTTTGGGCCACATCTCTTCTCCTCAAGACTCACTCAGCTTGGTATCTGTCATCTTGGGTGTTCCTCTGTAGATTCATTTTGTGGGCTCAGATTCTGGATTCTCCAGGTCCCTATAGGTGCTACAAGGACCCTTAGGGAAAACAGGCTGGCTGGGGGCCTCAGGAAGGTGTGTGACTGCCTCCCTGGCAGTCTGGGGAAGGGTGCAAGGCTCAGTGCACTGAACCATAGGAAATGTTCATAACCAGTAGCAACATCTTCCAGTTAGGACTATCCTAGAAGTGAGTGTGAGACTGAGAAATTGCTCCGAGTTAGGTTTCTTCCACAGCCGTTTTAGGATTCTAGACCAATCTTGTTCAGTATTTTTTCTGTGTCTTAACTTTTGGATTCTTTTGTTAAGCCAACAAGCTGAGAACTAGCTGCTCTTTGGCCAAGGCCTTCATAAATGATTCAGTCATCCTGTTGTCTACTCCGCAACCCCACCTCCAGATTACGACCATAGCATGGGAAGAATTTGAGGTCAGTTCTAACCAAGTCTGTGAATTAAAGCTGTTACTTTTTCCTCTGAGGGCATTTTGCATCATGCCTGGGCTATTTGCAGGACCAAAACTGGGTATGAGAGAAGAGGCAGCATTAAATTTGGGGCTCAGAACACCCCAAGAGAAAGGTTTGTGTAGTGTGTTATAAAGGTCTTCAGTGAGTTTGGGCCTACCTCGCTACTTCTGGGCCAGCCTGACTGATGTCCATATTAGCACATACCTGAACCCTTCAGCTAAATGCTAGCCCTGCTCCCACATGTAGGTCAAATTTTCAGCCCCTGGGTTTGGGAAGAGAAAATCCTACCATGCCCTGGGGACAGTGAAAGAAGTCAAAGATCATATCCTGAGACCACCTGGGAACCTCTGACTTGGAATGGCCTTAAAGAGTCCACCTCTATGAGAACTCTCAGGCCTTATAGTTGGGTATCAACTCTTTTAGCCAACTTTTGTGGGAATTGCCTTTGACTGAACCACTAAAGCAAAGGGGATATGAGGTCCCAGCCACCCAAGACAAACCGGATGTCCCTCAAAAATAGCTTGGGTTCCCAGCTACCGACCTTAGGAAGGTGAATCAAGCCCTTTTCCTCACTGGTTTTTTTTTTGTAATTTTCTCTTAGTTTTCCAAGAACTAAAAACTCGGGCTATTTTCCAAGTTCTCAGGGCCCCTGGGTAGACAGACAAAGCTTGATTTCAGAGCAGACATAGGCCAAGAAACCAAGGCATTGAGTGTGCTGAGTCCAGACAAATGATATTTATATACACATCCAAATTTGAAGAGAAAATGTTATTTCTTTAGGTTTCAAACACTGTAATAGATATAAAGCAAAAATAAAAACCTGTTGCAAAGTTCTAAATCGTCTTCTTTGGAATGATCCTAGACTGGGCTTTTTGTGATTGAGAGAGTGTTTAAACTTGTGGCCTAGCAGTAGAATTAAGAATTGCAACAGGGCCGGCTGAGTGGCTCAGTTGGTTAAGAGCTCGCTCAAGAGTTTGAGCTCAGCAACAGCAGTTCGATGCCTGGCCTGAGCTGAGCTGCCAACAGGTGGCAAGATGGCTCAGCTTAAAAAAAAAAAAAAAGAATTGCAACAGCCTGGGCTGGCCGACTGGCCCGTTGGTTAAGAGCTGGCTTGGGACGCCAGCTCTGAGCAGCAGGGCCCAGATTCGGATCCCACATGAGGGCCAGTGACACTGTGCCCTTTACAGCTAAGATGGTGAACAACAGCTCAACCTGGAGCTGGGCTGCTGTGAGTTGCCGGTGACCGACAGCATAGGCTGCAGTGGGACTTCAGTGGGCTGCCTTAAGCTACCGTGACTGGCCGGCAGCCAGGGAGAGCTGCTATGAGCTGCCAGGAGTGCCATCCAATGGCCGGCGACTGATCTGCCTCACCCAGGAAGAGCACGATGATAATACCAACATGGGCCAGTGAAGCAACATCCTCCACAACTAAACTGAAGAACAAAAGGACAGCAACTTGTCTGTTCCCCCTCCCCCAATACCCCAATCTTTTTTTTTTTTAAAGAATTGCAACAGCCTGCTCCTGCTAAAAAGACATTGTTAAAAATCAGCTTTATTGAAATATAATTGACATAAAGTAAATGGCACATATTTAAAATGTACAATTTGATAAGTTTGACATGTATGTACCCATGAAATCATCACCACAATCAAGATGGTGAACATATCTATAAGTTTCTGCATGCCCCTTAGGAATTTCTCCTCCTCACCCAACTCCCAGCAATCACTGATCTGAGTTCTGTTTAGTTTGCATTTTCTGGAGTTTCTCTAAAGGATTTTGACATCATTTCATCAGCACCACTCCACAGCCATTTGAGCCCATTAAGGTCATACAGTTCACAAACTACTCACTTTGGTTTAGATCAATTCCTAAAGCAGAGATCACAAGTAACCAAAAAGTTGATTCAGCCCAAAAGGAGGATTTTGGTTGGCTGACAGTGTGTATTAATTGCCAACACTTGAAGAAATAAAGGTGTATCTATCTTGAAAAATATCTGGCAGTACTGGGCTTGAGTTTCTGCTTGAAAATAATCTGTAAGAGCTCTATTTTACCACAATCAACCACCATTCCCAATGGTCTCCCTGACTAGTTGATTAGCAGATGCTAATATTGTTGCTATTTTATAACAAAAGGAGATATTGACCTTTTAACCCGTTTATCAAATTGTTATTGCTTGCCTGCCTGCTCCACTCATTTCCCAGCTGGTCTCCATAGGGCCACTTGATCCTTCTTGTGAAACCACTCTACCCCTCACTCCAAGCATACCTTGTTCTTGCTTATTACGTTCTTTATCTCTGCCTATAACACCTTCCTATGGAAATCCATTAAGGCCTGATATATATTTTACCTCAACAGATTTCCAACATGCTTTTCTGGAAATAATCAGACCTTGGTTTCGTGAGACTTGGATTCCAAACCTTTCCGGGCTTGCGTTTCACCATTATACCATATTGCCTCTCAATGTTACCTCGTAAAAGGTGAATTTGTGCTGCCTAAGGAAAGGGGGAAGAGCACTGCCCTGGAGTCTCTAACTGGGAAAAATACTTAACATATTAAAAGCCCTAAAACAATGCTGAGTTTGCACAATTAAAACATTCTTTTCCCTCACCCCCCAAACCCTAGGCTTTAGGACTATAGAATTTAGCCAACAGTTCTTACAATGTTCATTGATTTGTAAGCAAATAATTTCAACGCCTTACTTAATGCTGTAATAGAACTCTAATCAGACATAGGGAGCTAGGACAGACTGCAGAGCACTGGGCAGGCTCTGCAGTGACCTTTGGGCTGGATCTCAACAGATTTTGTTTTTGCCAGAAGTGCATTTTGGAAGCTGGAATAACACCTGCAAAATCCTGGGAAATCCTGGAAATAGTAAAAGTATTTCTGGAGCTGGAAAAAAGCAGAAGAGATGGGCACGGTTGTCTAGAAACATGCCATGTAGGCATTAAGTTCCAAGCACATGGGTGGTTGGTTTTTATTCCATTACCTGTAGGCAATTCGATAAAGAATTGTGATCTCACATTTGAAAAGTTTGGCTTTTTTCCCCTTTAGCCCCAGTGCAACAGATACTGTAAAGGGTAGGCCAGAGAAAGGGCTCAGGAATCTGCTAATGCTAAACTTCCCTTCCAAAGAGGGGCTCATGCTGGTAATGGAGAGGGAAAAAAATATAACCCATTTTAACAAGTTGCCTTGACTCAACCTCAGGAAAGTGTGTCATGATGGTTACTTCTTCTGGGTAAGAGGCAGGGTAGTCTAGTAGTTCAGATGGGTCCTAGTGCCGGACTTCCTGCTCTAATCACCGTCCTCAGCTGTAAAATGGGAATAACACATAGTACTTGATCAGTAATTAGGATTAAGCTAGTAGATATCAGGAAAGCACACCTTAAGCGTTCAAATAACTGCTATTGTTAGTAAAAGCTTCTATTTGAACATGGAAATTGAAGTTCTGGGAGAGAAAAGAATGTCCAGTCACACAGCAAATTAGTAATTAAGTTAGGACTGCAATACAGGTCTCCAGGTTCCCAGCCCAGTATTCTGTCCCCAGTCCTCCGAGTACCCAGACGGTTATACATGTTCACAGCAGGGCGGAAGGGTTGGTGGAGGCATGCAAGAAATAACAGCCAGGAGTAAATCTTTCGGAGCTGAATCATAGCTTCTGCACGACAGAAAGAAGGTTGACGTGAGTACTTGAACAGAATGACTAGCTCCTTTCGGACGTGGGTATCCGGCTCCTAGGACTAAAGCCCTTTATATTGCATCTTGGGAGTTGGGGTCAGCCCTGGTGCATAAAGGGACTTGTAGTCCTTTCCCTCCCCCGCTTTCCAACTCACCCGCCTCAGAGGCCGCAGCGCTTCATCTTTCCCAGCAAGCCCCGCGAGAGCGCCGGCTATTGATTGGCTGCGGCGAGCAGGCAGCTCTGCCGGCAGCGGTTACCCAGGGTTTCCGGTGCGAGGCCAGAGCGGGCGAAGCTGTCGGGACGTTGGCGGTGGGTGGGTACCGCAGCGGCTAGAGGGACGAGGCGATCAGAGGGTCTGTGGACCTGGGGGCTTTCGGCCAGTGGGGGGAATCACGCAGATTCCGCGTGAAGGCTCGGGCCGGGGGACAGGGCTAAGGTCTGTGCGCATGCGCGGGCGGGCCGCGCACGGCGGGAGGGCGCGCGGGGCGTGGGTGGCTGTGCGCGCGCGGGGGAGTGGGGGCCCACGTGGGGCCTTGGGGGGGGCAGAGGGGGGGACGCGAATCGAGCGTCCCGCCACGTCAGTCTCCGTCCGGGAGCCTATCCCGCGCTCCGCCTGTGGTGAGGTGGACGCGTTGTGCCGGGAAGAGGCTTCAAGAAAAAGGCCTCTCCTGGAGCAGCTCCCCGAAAACCTGCCTAGGCACACCTGGCTCCCCCAACTGGCCAGAGACAGGGAGAACCGTTGACTCCCTCAGGTGAACGCCGGCCAGTTCGTTTTAAGAAGCTTTGTGCAGCCGGTGTTGGGATTTCTGATCCAGGCTGAGAAGAATTTTGAAGTCTGGAAAATAGCAAGTGTGCTTGTTTCTATAGGATCATCACCTCACCTAGCATTGCAAACCACAATGAAGAACCAAGACAAAAAGAACGGGGCTGCCAAGCAATCAGGCAGCTCTTCCAACCCAAAAAGCAGCCCAGGGCAAGCGGAAGCAGGACCAGAGGGAGCCCAGGGGCTGCCCAGCCAGTCGGCCCCTGCAACAGAAACTGAAGGTTCCTCCAGCCAGGCTCCAGGGAAGACCGAGGGTGTGTGCCAGCTCTCCTTTTCCAGCGGGCAGGGGGAGGAGTTTGTGGTGCGCCAGCCTAGCTTCTGGAGTTAGAGGCCACTGTTTTACCCAGAAAGAAGGAAGTGTAGAATGAGGGGAGGACAGTGCTGAGTCTCTGCGACCCCCACGGCAGTCTGGGGAGTTGGTAGAACCTTCCACTCTATGCATAGAAACAGAACTCTTGAGAGAAGGCTCTGACAGGATTAAATCGGGTGGCAGTCAAAATGAGACTCCCAACCAGCAAATTAAGATTAGAAACACCTCATTCACCAGTAGGTAACTGCTTTTTATACTGGAGGCATTTCTGGAACATTTTCAGTAGCAAGAAATGACTTTCTCGGGGTGGAGGAGATGGACTAGACATTGAGCTCCTGCTACATGTCATCTGTATGTGCTGAATGCTTTACTTGATTTCTTTTATGCTCACAACAAACATTGTTGGTAGTGAGAAATAGTCATATCGTTTTATAGGTAAATAAACTGAGGCTTAAAGAAGTTAGGCAACATTGAACCCAAACCAGTAAGTTTGGGCCTGCAAAATCCCAACCAGTGGTCTAACCATCTTGTTTCTTACTCAGCCCCTTCATCCTCTCCTGCTGTAGGAGCACAAGCCAAAACGTCTCCATCTGGGGCCCTCCGTGATGTCTCTGAGGAGCTGAGCCGTCAGTTGGAGGACATCTTGAGTACATACTGCGTGGACAGCAATCAGGGGAGCCCAGGTGAGGATGGGGCACAGGGTGAGCCTGCTGAATCCGAAGATGCAGACAAGTCCCGCACCTATGCCTCGAGGAATGGGGAGCCTGAGCCAGAGACCCCAGTAGTCAATGGTGAGAAGACCTGCAAGGGAGAGCCAGGCACAGACGAGATCCGGGCAAGTGATGATGTTGGAGACCGAGACCACCGAAGGCCACAGGAAAAGAAGAAAGCCAAGGGTCTGGGTGAGCAGAGGGAAGCTACTCTTGCGGATGGTGAGGGGAGGGAGTTTGGACCTGATATTCCTTGGGCTAGCCTACTCTGCTAGGGTTCAGAGGAAACCCTACTTCCCAGAGCAGTGAATCAGACCAGTTTAATCAGCTCCAAGGCTGTGGGGCCATAGCATAGATGTGTGCAGGTTGTTCACTGCACAAGGGCTCCTGGCCTTGGGAGCAAGTGGGAACCGAAATCCAACCTGCTTTCTCTCTGAGGAAATGGAGAGCAAGAGGCCTGGGTGGACTCCTGTGCCAGCCAGCACCATTTCTAATCTGTTGTGTGACCTTGGGCAAGACCTTTCTCCTCTCTAGTCCTTAGCTGTCACTTCTCTACAGTAAGAGAATTAGACTAGACCAGAGTGGAAAACACAAATAAGCCATGCTAGGCAGGGGGCCATGAGGATCAAGAGAGTGCCTACTTCATCTAAAGGGTTGACTGCTACCTGGTCCCAGCAAGTTGATAGCATGTAAACAAAAGCCTAATTCTAGACAGCCCTTTTTTTAAAAAACAAATCTAGAGTTACATGCAATTTCTAGATTTTTTACAGTTGGCAACTAATGCTAGAAGCCAAACAAAACCCACCTGTGGGTTGGATTTGGCCTGTATGCTAGTGATTTGCAGTCTCCACATTGATCTCTTGGAACCTCCTAGGGTTGCCACTTCAGGAGCCTGGTGCTATGCTATGTACAGTGGCTCTCTAGGGAGACAGAGGGACAACTGACTCAGGCACAGGCAGTGCAGGAAAGTCTTTTGGCTGAAGTGGGGGTTGAGGGGAGGCTAGTGTGTGTTAAAGAATCAAAGTCAGGTGGTATTATACCCCTAGCACCTACTCCCCTACCCCCTAATTGTCATCCTAATTTAAAGGTTACTTTGTTTTTAATCTTAGGATCAAATATTGGAAGGTATATTCATTTTAAAGTTCACTTTTGGCTACCTCTGCTGATAAAAGTTAGTAGTTCTCAAGGAGACCTATTTCGTTTTGCATCCTCCCTCTTTCAGAAAGGCCTTCTTGCATTGAAACAGTAGCACTGAACTCACAGATGGCCACCTTTCTCTCACCTGTTGGTAAAGCAGGCCACTTTGTGTTTTGTTTTTTTCTTCCCACTCCTGGTGCTCACCAAGGAGATTCCACAGAGATTCAGTCATTTATTTAATAAGTATTTGTTGAGCATGTCCTCTGTGATGGGCACTAGGGACAGCACTGGGCCACAATAATAGGCAGAACGAGTTGGTCCCAGCCCTCATTAAGCACACAGACTAGCAGAGAAGGCAGCCCAGTTCAGCAGACAGAAATATAAAGTATGATAGGGGAGGGCTGTCTCAAGGCAGAAGAGTGTGGGCCCAGAGGGGAATCCCAGAGAAGAGGGTACATGCCTTTGCTCCCTGTGCTTTGCAGGAAAGGAGATCACGTTACTGATGCAGACATTGAACACGCTGAGTACCCCAGAGGAGAAGCTGGCAGCTCTGTGCAAGAAGTATGCTGAACTGGTCAGTTTTCCCCATTCTCACACCCTCCCTGTCTTAGAAAGTCAGCAGGCCACCTGGCATGGGGTTATAGGTGGCTTCATTCCTGTTCAGCCTCTCTCTGAGTCTTTTCCCCATCTAACTGGGGAGTCAGATCCCAGCCAGCCTCTTCACGACTGACAGTAAGAGAAGAAATTTCACGTTCCAGTGGTAGAGCCCTAGATCTGACCTGAATCCCAGATACCATGTCATCTTGCCCCTGTGTGCCTCGGTATGCATCTCCCCAAAATATGGAAATGCCCAGTACCATCATCACACTTAACAAAATTAACACTAATCACTTGATATGCTGTTAATACCCAATCCATAGTCAAATTCCCGCAGTTGTCAATTTGATCAAATCAGAGTCCACATGATGTCCATTTATTACATTGGGTTATTACAACTTTTTTTGGGGGGGGGACCTGGGGGATGGGAACAGTGCTGGGGAATTGGGGGAAGGGGAACAGACAAGTTGCTGTCCTTTTGTTCTTTAGTCTAGTTGTGGAGGACGTTGCTTCACTGGCCCAAGTTGGCATCATCATTGCGCTCTTCCCGGGCGAGGCAGATCAGTTGCCAGCTTCTGGCCATTCATGCTGGCTGTTGGCTACACACGGTAGCCCATGGCAACCCACTGCCAAAGGGGCTGCAGCCTACGCCGTCGCCGGCGACTCATGGCAGCCCAGCTTGAGGTTGAGCTGTTGTTCAGCATCTTAGCTGTGGAGGGCAGTGTCACTGGCCCTCATGTGTGGGATCCGACCCGGGGCCCTCTGGCGTCCCAAGCCAGCTCTTAACCAACGCGCCGCTCGGCCGGCCCACAACTTTTTTTTTTTCTGTTACTCTAAAGCAGTCTTCATCTCACTGCTTTGCTTTTCTCATGACATCGACTTATTACAGATCAATTGTCCTGTAGTGTGTCCCACTTTCTAGCTTTGTAGCATTTCACTTGTTTCTTTACCTCCTTCGTTCATGTAAATAAAGTGGAAGTTAGCTCTAGAAGCTTGTTCCAATTCAAATTCAACTTCTTTGACAAGAATTCTTCATAAATGGTTTTCTGTACTTCATGTTGCATCACAGGAGAAAGTGTGGTTGTCCCACTTTTAGTGGCGAAAGATTGATTGTTCACTGGGCTCAGGTGGCACCAACCAGGTCCTTCCTCTGTCAGGTTTCCCATCAGAATTTGAAGTAACAGATTCCACTGACGGTTATTGCCTAATTATTTATTTTTAAATTCTTTCATTCCATTCACAGTTATTAGCTGGAATTCTCCTGTAAGGAACTTTTCTCATCTGTAAAATGGGGAAAGTCACACCTGCTTAATGGGGTTATTATAACAATTAATTAAGGAGAGGATATGAAAAAGACAGCACCCTTTCAGAATGATCCAGCCCAGGAAAGATTGATGATGGCAAGAGGAGGAAGTGAGTTGCTAGAATGATGTTCTCAGGTAAATGAGAGGAAGTGAGGTCCAGTGCACCAGGAAAGGGCTTGGCTGTGGTGAGAAGCTCGGCCAGGTCCTCATGAATGGAGGAGAGGACAAGTGCAGGTGGATTGGCGGGTATGGAGCTTGTGGCCCCTACTCCTCTGGGTACTTCTGTTCTCTTGAAAATGGAAATGATAGTTTTAGCTGGGCGGGAGAGATTTGACGAGGAGGATAAATACAGTTGTCTAGAACAGGGGTCTGCAAACTGCAGCTCGCCAGCCACATGCGGCTCTTTGGGTACGTTCCGTCTAAAAAGTTTGAAGACCCCTGGAAGAGCCAATCCTGTCCCTCACAACAATTTTAAAATTATTTGAGAGCCATAAAACAAATGAAATCACCATTGTGTGAATAATATCCTTTTAAAATTTTATAAACGAAACTATGATAGTTTTATTTTCATTTTCAGTTTTACTTCAGAGCCACATGTATGTACCCAAAGAGCCACATGTGGCTCTCAAGCCACAGTTTGTTGCCCCTGGCAGCTCTTTTGTCTCAAAAGTTTGCCAACCCCTGGTCTAGAAGAAGAAGAGGACAGCTAGGCAAACCAGGGGTCTTCCTGAAAGTGGTCACGAATTCAAAGAGATTCTTTAAGCAGAGTTGCTTCAGTGCCAGTGCAGGGTTAGCAGGAGGTTGATATACCAGGGTTGGGATTTTACTGAGAAAGAGAGTTGAGGGCATAAGGAATCTAAGCTGGGTGAAAAGGTATGTGATTGTTTAAAAGAGGGTTAAAGGAAAGGGAAAGAATGGTTGGGTCAATAGACTAGAGCTCCAGTAACATAGGGGACCTTCTGGGCCCACAGATGTTGGGGGGAATGAGCTAGGAAGGTAGGTGGTGGTGCTGGCCTGGGATGAGATAATGGAGGTGGGTGCAGTTCCGGGTGATGACAAACTGGCTGATTGAAATGTAGCTAGTCTGAATCCGGATGTGCTGTAAGTGTAAGGTACACGCTGGATTTAACAGACCTAAGGAAAAGGAAGACTAAAATATCTCAAATTTCTTAACATTGATTCCAGGTTGAAATTAAATATCCTAATATTAAAGTTAATTCACCTCTCTACTTTTTTTTAAAGATTTTTATTGGGGAATTGGGGGAAGGGGAACTGACAAGTTGCTGTCCTTTTGTTCCTCAGTCTAGTTGTGGAGAATCGCTTCACTGGCCCATGTTGGTATTATCATTGTGCTCTTCCCGGGTGAGGCAGTCACTCGACGGCCATTGGACAGCTGCTCACTGCGGCTCATGGCAGCTCACGAAAGCACTTGCCAGCTGCTGGCCAGCCCCACTGCAGCCTACGCCATTGCTGGTGACTCATGGCAGCCCAGCTCCAGGTCGAGCTGTTGTTCACCATCTTAGCTGTAGAGGGCGCAGTGTCACTGGCCCTCATGTGGGATCTGAACCAGGGCCCTGCTGCTCAGAGCTGGCCTCCCAAGCCAACTCCTAACCAACACACCACTTGGCCAGGCCCTCTTTTTACTTTTCTAATGTGGGCACTAGAAAAATTTTAATTACATAATTGAATTGCGTGGTACAATTATGAATTGTACAGTACAACATGAATAGGCCCATGGGAGGGGAGCTAAGCTGGAAAAAGACAGGGTCCAAGGACAATATTAAGTTCTGTGAGGCCAGGGAGTCAGAAAGATTGTTGATAATGAAAAGGCCAAGATGATAATAGGAATGATATTAAAGAGAAAAATGGTGAACCAATGCTAAGTCTTAGAGCAGTGAGAGGGAGTCACGAGGTCTATTGATGAGTACAAGAAGGAGTAGCAGGTGGTCTCATCGAGGGCCTGAGTGTCCCAAGAGTTGGGGGAATGTAATGGTCTGAGAGTCTTGAAAGCTTTGTCTCTGGAGTCAGAGCTGGGAGAGAAACGGATTTGCTGGCTGCGTGCCTCTGCTTGTCTTGTCTGAGTGTCCATCTCTGTATCCTTGAGGTACAGGGGCCCTTGGGTTTTTCGTGAGGGGTACACCTTCAGTGTCCAGCCTGAGCTGTTATGGCTGGAGTTGGAGGAGAGCGCTGGGGTGGGGTCAGCTCAGGAGACCCTGGATCCCCATGGGGAGAGCCTCACGGGGCGCTTACCTGCCTCTCTGTCCCCAGCTGGAGGAGCACCGGAACTCCCAGAAGCAGATGAAACTCCTGCAGAAGAAGCAGAGCCAGCTGGTGCAGGAGAAGGACCACCTGCGGGGCGAGCATAGCAAGGCCATCTTGGCCCGCAGCAAGCTCGAAAGCCTGTGCCGTGAGCTGCAGCGCCACAACCGTTCCCTCAAGGTAGGCTGACTGGGCCCCCTGGGAGGGACTACTGGTTTCCTTGACTTCCACTTACCTTTGCTGGCTTTCCCCTTAAAAACTAGCACAGGCAGCTCTTCTCCCAGAGTTGGTCAGTCAGGAATGTGGGTCCTTTCTGCTTGTTCTGCTTCTCCGAGGGTGGGGTCAGTCTGGTTAAAGGCTGGTCACTGCTGTGAAGTCCAGATCGCTTTGGTATGCGTATCCTTTATGTATTTCTCATAAAATTTGCAGCAGTAAATATATGGTATTTTGCAACTTGCTTTGCTCATTTTTAGTTTGTTTTTTAAAACATTACAAATTTAACGTAAATTTGATGTAAGGGATTCAAAGGTAACACAAGTATAACAAATCAAAGATAATAGTCACTCACCATCCCCAACCTCAGTGCCCATCAGAAACCACTGGGAAGAAAACCTACTTATATGTAAGTTTAAGTACAGCCTTGTAAATTTGCTATTTACATATAAAATCTTACATACAGTTTTTTTTAATGAAATTATAATACATGTGTTGTTTCATATGCTATTTCATTTTCTCATTTTGCACAATGCTTAATCTTTCCCTATCAGTATATATAAGGGTATCTCATTTTTTTAACAACAAATTTTAATAGTTTTTGTCACATTGCTTTCCCACCAACAGTGTGAGTGCCTAATTCTGCACAACCTTGCCAACTCTGGGTATTACTGCATTTTAACTACTTGGTCGGGCGGTGGGGGCAGTCCAACATGAAAGCATGTTGAAACTAAACTACTTAATAGGTCTTCCAGACCTAACCTGAGGGCTGGGAGACTAGGCTTCAGGAGATCCAAAGTTCTTTAGAATGGCACTTACATATATGCCTGCATTTTTCTAGGGAGAGAATCTCTCACTTGATGTCACCTGATATACAGAAGGGTCCATTAGGAGCCCCCGTTGCATGACATCTTGGAGCCTGGCCACTCCTCACCTTGAGAGCAGGGAGGGCTATTGATAGAGACCATCCTGGACTGGTTGGGGGAGCCTTGTGAGGCTGGCTGGGGAGCAGTAGATGATGGAGCTGGGGCTGACTTCTCTGCCCAGGAAGAAGGCGTGCAGCGGGCCCGGGAAGAGGAAGAGAAACGCAAGGAGGTGACTTCGCACTTCCAGGTCACACTGAATGACATTCAGCTACAGATGGAACAGCACAATGAGCGTAATTCCAAGCTGCGCCAGGAGAATATGGAGCTGGCAGAGAGGCTCAAGAAGCTGATTGAGCAGTATGAGCTGCGAGAAGAGGTAAGGTGTTATGGACAGCCATCATGGCCATGGAATGGGAGGCTCTGGGTGTGTAACAGACTCTGGGAAAGCACTTTTCAGGCTTCGTCCTGTTCGCCTGTTCTTCCTCCTTCCTTACAAGGGGGGCAATGTTATGCGTCCTCCTTGTAGACAAGGAACTGAGATAAGGAGAAGAGACTGGCCTGTGGCCGCACAGCCACATGTCCACAGTACCGTCCTATACGGTAGGTCCAGGTATCTTTTGGAATCAGAACTGCCCAAGTATTAGAATGGAAATATGTTCATGGACTCCGTTTTACATAGCACCCCAGCAGGGCCTTGTGGAAGCACCCCCAAATCAGACATAATATTTATGCCGTTAAACTCCTGAGTACTCACCTAGATTATAATTAGCCATACAATAGTACGGGTCAAGTTTGTCTGACATCTTACAACTTTAGTTTTCAGAGTTTTAGAATTTGAAATCACGGGAGGAGTTGGACCTGTGGTCAGTGATCCGCTCCAGGAGCTGTGTCCTCTGATTCCTTGGCTGCCGTTGGCTGCTTCCTAGGCACTCAAATCCCTCTCTTTGGGACCCCACATGCCAGTCACTTGGCTGCTCTGGGTCTCTGTTTCCTCATCATAAAAAGGAAGACTGACAGCTACCACAGTGCCAGACCAAGCCCCTTCCTAGGCCCGGGGAGTGTGTGGGGTGGGGGTCTGTGATAGGTGGGATAGGCAAGACCCTGCCCTCTTGGGCGCACAGTCTACTGTGGTAATCACTGTGCAGGGCCTAGAGGGGCCTCTCCTGGCCCACCCCTCTTTTTTCTGTACTTTATCCTCTGGGAACAAGCCTGCTTATGATGGATTTGATTTGAGAAGAGTTGGCTTGGTTCTTGTCCCTTAGCACTAAGAGACATACTTCAAGAAGTTGAGGATTCTCTCTCTGTTCTCCTTCCTTCCTCCTAAGGCAAAAATAAGACTTGGTACTCCCTGTGGAGGTAGAGGTGCAGGGCTCCCAGACCCTATGCTCCCCATTCACACCCTGCCCCCAGTCAGATTCAGGCACCCCCATCCTGCCCCCTCTGAGCCTCTGGACCTCAAATCACAGGCGACTAAATTCATTATGTCCCAAACTGGACCCACCCCCAAGCCACCTTCCCTTCCCCTTCCAAACAAGACACAAAATTCCCCACATCCCTTTTTTCACTTGCTTTTATCTTTGAAATAGTATTTGAGTTCATCCCTTTTGCTCCATCCCTGCTCTCACCTGGCCCCAGTTCCCAGCGCTCCTCCAGCAGTAAGGACAGCCATTCCTTGGGATATCTAATCTTCACCTGTAGATAGTGCCGAGTTCTGTCAACGGAGCTAAGCTGTTGTGCTGGGAGAGGTGTTCTTTTTGCCCTTTCTTCCCACTTACAACGGAGTCAGGCTTCAAAAGTGAGGGTTGTCAGCCCAGTGGAGGGATCTCTCTTGGGGCTGGAAATTTGGGTTCATAGGAGCTGATTTTGTCCATAAACCCTGGTGTTCACCCAGGACTGACTCAGTGGGAGAAAAATAAGGTGAGGTTTGAAAGTACATCTTTAGGCATTCTATGGTACGCATGGGAGTCCAGTATGTCAGATTGAGATGGGAGGTTGGGCCGGGGGCCCTGGTCTCTGCAACCACTGGGTTTCCCTGAGAAAGGAGCTCCTGACAAATGGCTCCCTCCCACCATGCTTTCCTGCAGCATATCGACAAAGTCTTCAAACACAAGGACCTACAGCAGCAGCTGGTGGACGCCAAGCTCCAGCAGGCCCAGGAGATGCTGAAGGAGGCAGAGGAGAGGCACCAGCGGGAGAAGGATTTTGTGAGGATTAGGCCCTGGGCGTGGGGGGTCTTGAAGGAGGTGGGTTGGGTTTTGGCTTAACTCATAGTCAAGTTTGTGTGGGAGAGGTTGCTGCCTGGCCAGACCAAGGCACTGCTTCTTCAGACGCTAGTCTGAGAGCAGGAAGCTTCAATGGTATGGCAAAATAAAAGCCACACACAGCCCCTCAGGGCTTCTGACGGCGTTTGGGATCCTGTCTTGGAAATAGCTCCTCAAAGAGGCTGTGGAGTCCCAGAGGATGTGCGAGCTGATGAAGCAGCAAGAGACCCACCTGAAGCAGCAGGTGAGACAGTGTGTATCCTGACCCTGTGCCTCCAAGGTCCCCTCTCTGGGCCCCGTCCTCGGGGGGAGGGAAATGGGACCCTCATTCTAGGACCACCTTGACTGCTGTGTGACCTTGCTGAGCCTTTGTTCTCTCTGGACCCGCCCAGCACCTGTGTGGTGGTGACCAGGTGGCTAGGTGAGCTCAAAGGACTTCGTTCCTAGTCACAAGTGTTGTGCTGCTTTTGAGGAGGTGGGGACAGACAGCTGTTTTTAATTACAAATACTTAATTCTGGAAGAAACATTTGAAAACAAACATTAAGGCAAAACATAAGTCATCCCAAACCCTACTTTCCAGGTGTAACATTTTGGATTATATCCTTCCAAATATATAGTTTTTGTTTTATTTTAAAGAAAAATTGCATCTCAGTATAATTGTCAGGTCAGGGCCAAGGATGAGTCTGAGCGTGTTGACCAGAAGTGCCCTCTAGGGAAGCCCAGTCTTAACCTGTGGGCTTCTTTCTCACCCAGCTTGCCCTATACACGGAGAAGTTCGAGGAATTCCAGAACACTCTTTCCAAAAGCAGCGAGGTGTTCACCACATTCAAACAGGAGATGGAAAAGGTAACATTGGTCCAGGCTGAGTGTGGCTGCAGGGACACAGCTGCTTCATTCAAAATGGGGTGCCTCATGGGGCGCTGTTTCCAGTAACAGTGTGATTGAGACTAAGGGTGGGGTCCTAAGGAGGGATCATAGCTTTTCCTCCCTCTCAGCAAAGTGTCAGTTGTATGTGCTCCTTCCAGATTGTCCTGGAGAAGGGGTTTCTGGTCATTTCCTGTTATTGGCAGTGGGCATTTAAATTGAGTTGAGAAGGCACTGACTGCACTGTAATGCCTTGGCCCCTTGGGACCATTCCGCACCTCGGGGACCCATAGATGCACAGCAGCCTGGCCCCCTGACCATTTTGTTCTGCCTGTCACATAACCCAGATGACTAAAAAGATCAAGAAGCTGGAGAAAGAAACCACCGTGTACCGGTCCCGGTGGGAGAGCAGCAACAAGGCCCTGCTGGAGATGGCTGAGGAGGTGGGTTCAGTGCGCTGTGCAGCTGGGGTTGGGGTATGCAGTTACCGAGTGTCGGGCCCTTTCCTGTACATTCTATCGATAACTGATGCAGCTAGCATGAGGTGGAGCCAGGCTTCACATGCATGTGTGTCCAAGTCCAGGGCACCACCAGCTCTCCCCAAGGAGGGTGGCGAGCTCAGTCATAGGTCTGCAGTGGAAGCAAAGAGAACAAATGGAAGAAAGGAGAAGGAAAAACAAGGGGTGTCAATGATGCATGTAGTTTGTATGCAGAGTGGCCCTGATCACTTGATTTTGTGGCTTGAGATGTAGGAGAGAAAAGCAACTCAGTGCTCGAGCAGCTACTGCAGCCAAACCTGCTGAATGTCTTCTATACACCAGTTCATTCACCTTCCCTCAAGATCTATGAGCTTGATGTTAGTAGTCCAGTTTAACAGATAAGGAGGTAGGCACAAAAGCCAAGTACTTTGCCAAAGTCATCTGTGGATAAACAGGAGGAATACACTGTCTTCAAGCCATGCCCCTCCCTACACTGCGTACATTGCCCCCAGCTGACAGCCAGGTCGTGGCATAAACCAGGGCTTATGCCACTTTTTGGGGCCAGCTTTTGACTCCACTCTATTCCCAGCCTTGTTAAAGTGTGAATGTTTTTTACCCAGCGGTGGGGTGGGGTAGAGGGTCCAGGGCATGGCACTGAAGGCCCCCTTTCTCTCCCTAGAAAACACTCCGGGACAAAGAGCTAGAGGGCCTGCAGGTGAAAATTCAGCGACTGGAGAAGCTCTGCCGGGCACTGCAGACAGAGCGCAATGACCTGAACAAGAGGGTACAGGACCTGAGTGCTGGTGGCCAGGGCCCCCTCACTGACAGTGGCCCTGAGCAAAGGCCAGAGGCTGCCACTGTCTCCAAGGAGCAGGGTGGCGAGGGGCCCGGGGCCCAAGCACCTAGTTTCCCAAGGGCCACAGAAGCTCTTTGCTGCCCTGGAGCACCGAGCACAGAAGCATCAGGCCAAACAGGGCCCCAGGAGCCCACTTCCACCACCGCCTAGGGAGCCTGGTGCTGGGGGCGTGCTGGGAAGGGAGCAGGCAGCCCAGCCAAGCCTGGCCCATGTGAGGCTCCCACTGCTAAGCAGTCCAGTGCTCTGGCCCAGGGTGCTCTGACTGGGCTGGCATCTGACACTTCGCAGTTTTGGATTTTGTGGGTCAGTTTTACGTATATATGACCTGTGCAAGGCCGCATTTATATCTGTAAGTGTAAAATGGGCTTGCATTGGAGGCGGGGTGTGTACAGATGAAGTCAGTGGCTCATCTGTGATCTGAAGAGTCTTAAAGAGGAGCTGTTATCTGTAGCTGCCTTCACAGTGAGCTGGCAGGACGAGTAACTTGAACATTTCCCTGCCTGGCTTGAGGCTCACACCCCTCCGTCCCTGCCCTTCAGGGCTCATGACAAGTGACACACCCAGGCCTTGACGGTGTTTCTCTTGTTAGCAGGGCTTGGGCAGCTCTGGCTCTTCCAGCTCCTCTGGAAGCTCCTTTGCTTCTCTTGACCTGGAAGAAGGATCCCCAGGCAGAGCCTTGGCAGGGCGCTCAGAGCTGGTGGTCAGACTGCTTTCCTGCCTAGGACAGGGGACCTGGAGAATGTCTGTGTGAGATGATGCTCTGGTAGGGAGCCCCTCGGGCGTCACTTCCCCTGCCCTCTGGTAGTGCCAGGACCAGGCCAATGATGCTTCTCAGTAGCCTTATCATTCACAGGTGCCTCTAGCCTGCACAAATGATTAACAAGAGATCACCCAAAGGATTCTTTCTGAAGGTTTTTTTGTTTTTGTTGCACATGACGACAGTGTTTGTACTGGGGATTTGAGGGAGTTGGAGAGCTCTAGTAGTGGTGCCTGGGTTCCTGGCCTCTAGTGCCCCACCACCACCACCCCAACTGGCAGCTTTGCCATGTTGGCGCTTAGGTTTCCTGTTTGATGAAATCAGATTGTAGTTAAAAGAAAGGGCTTCCGATGGCTTTGCCACAAGCTTACCTATGTGTTTCAATCCTGGAAGGCCACCACTGATTCCCATCACCACTGTCTCCATGCAGCAGTTGCTGGGCCTCAAACCCAGTTGTCCTCCTTGGCTTTATGAGTCTGTTTCTGCTTCCTGTCCCCACCCCCAATGTGCAATCCTTGAGATTTGCCTTGGTTTCATTGCCCAAGGAATAAGAGCTGAGGTGTGTCCTCCTTGACATACCACTTCTTCTTTCTGTGTGAGAGCCCCAGCTCTTGTCTGACAACTAAAGCGTAAGAATGAGACTCAATAATTGAGCCTCAGAAATCCACAAAATGGCTGCAGATATATGTCTGTTCCCGTCCCATCCCTCATCCCGCCTCTTACATGTTACTCTACTCTGAAAGTTCTGGTTGTAAACTTGCCTGGGGTATTAGCCAGTCTTTGTACAGAGCAATTTTCTGGAACAACAGAATGAGTCTTTAGTCAGGAAGCAGAGCTCTGCTGGGCTCGAGGTACTGTACACCACCCCCCCAGCCAGGTGTCAGCTTCAGTGTAGCTGAGGGAGCCAAAGACCAAGGTGGAAGGGATGCTTGAGCTGCTGCTGCTTGCTGTATTTCTTTGAATCTAGTTCATTATTACATATGTCCCTTCATCTTCCACAACTAGCCTGCTCTTTCAGCCCTTAACTTAAATCCCTCTTATTAAAGTAGGTTCATGAAGAGTATTAAGTACTCCTGAATCATGTTCTGACTTAGACCAGGGATGGCAAATGAATGGCATTTCATTTCCCCTCAGCCCCCATGGTAGGTACCACCAATCTGCTTCAGAGTATTTCCTGCTCACCCCTGGTATTTCTTTATTTCTCACGGTTCCCTCAGCAGCCAGTATACGTGCTGAGACCTGTTTGCCATCCCTGGCTGAGATACTGCTCTCCTGTGGAGAAGTGTATCCTAAAATCTTTCCTTCCCCTCTGAAATGCCTGTCTGAATGGTCCCTGAACATGCCTCTACCTGCTCCAGTAAGGCTCCATCCCCGAGCCCCTGTGCCAGGCCGAGGTACACAAGAGCTGCCAACCCCATACAGGGTTTGCTGGGCTATGGAAGCACAGGAGAGAGGTAGAAGCTTCTGCCTGCTCCCCTTCAAGGTCAGGAAGGCCAGCAGTGGCCCACATGATTGCCTGCCTCACTTCAGCTACCTCTTAAAGCCCATGGGGTTGGGGGGAGGGGGCTGTCGGAGCCCAGCGTGATGGGATGGGAACTCCGCTGCATAGCACAGCAGCCCTCTGAAACCAAGTCTAGCCACTAAGGAGCTACAGTGAGCAAGGTGGCCCCAGCTGGGCTCCCCAGGTCAGAAATACAGGCCCTGGGCAGAGTAGAACCTTTCCTCAGCTCTAGGTGTCCTGGCCAGGCTATAGGTGGGGATCCCATCCTTCCTTTAACTCCATTGACCAAATCTTACCAATCACTACAGCTACTCTGCTTTCCAAAGTCAGCCCAGGTACCTGGATGATGCGTACATCAGCCAGGAGCCTGGGTCAGATGCAGGGGAGGTGGCCTATCTATGAAAGAAGGCCAGTGCCTTCCCCGCCAGGGCAGGTCCCATGCACATGACCTCAGTCCTAGGACCAAGAGTTGTGTTGGTTTCTTAGATGGCTGGCTTTTCCTCCAGGGAACCACAGTAGGTGAGGCTTGCAGCCCTTGGCTCTGCTGACAGTAATTTCTGCAGGACCTTATCCAGCTGAGAGCTTCATGTACACCAGATTCTGAGGTGTCAGCAGCACTTTTTTTTTTTTTTTTTTCCATGAGGTTTTTGGACCATGGGCTGCTCAGGCACTTTTCTGTAAGAGAATGTTATGTCTCTAAAGATGGTTATTTCCCGTCCCCCACCCATTGTGGTGACCCTGCAGAGGGCTGACCAAGAGGCCAGTGGAGCTGCCTGCCCTGGTATCTATGGGGGAGGGTCAAGGCCTGCTGAGCTGATTCTCCAGCTGCTGCTCCAGCCCTCCCACCTCGCACAGCACAGGTGGTCACCCCAGGGACAGCCAGGCACCTGCCTGGGGGAGGGGTGCTGCCTTCTGTCCCTGTAACTGCTTCCCTTATGGCCCAACCTGGCCACTGGATTTGTTTGAAGCTGTGTTGGCAGCTTTTTTGTCTCATTTTGGTATTCACAACAGCCAGGGACTTGATTTTGTTGTATTTTAAACCACATTAAAGAGTCTGTTGCCTTACTCTCCTGACCTTTGTCGTCATTTGGTGCTTTTGGATCCACCCACCCATCACTGATTTGTCCAAATCTGCCATGTCTCTGTTCCTTGATATCCTGCATCTTCCCAAGTGCCGTCCCTTCCAGCAGTCCCCACAGGCTCAGGACATGGAAGATTCACTTGAGCTGTCCATGAATATCTCTTGGCAAAGTTGATGTGATGCCCAGGAACATAAGAGGTGATTTCTTTCACTCAACCAATCAAAAGTCCCTGCCCTCCAAGGGCTCACAGGCCAGTAAGGGGAAAGGGAACTTAGATGTAGAAAGGATGGTAGTGCTTTGGGAGCATAAGAGGAGGCCCTGTCCCCTACAACAAGGGGACGGTGGATACCTAGAAGGGCCTTTGGCCCAAAGGGCAGATAGGAGTTTGACAACTTGATGTAGCAATGGAGTGGATCACCTAGCACTGTGGGCACACAGGAGGGTGGTGGGAGGAGATGCATGGGCCACATCACCATGAGCCCGTGTGCAGGTGAAGGAATTTGAGCCCAATCAGGGCAGGTGAGAGAGAGACCCACTGAAGGCGCTTAGATAAGAAATACGTAGGACCCACAAGGTAGGCAAAAGGCAAGTACAGCAGAGATCTATCTAGGCAGATGCAAATTGAGGCCCAAATAAGGTGAGTGGCACTCATCCCTGCTATCTGGGACTGTGCCATGGGCAGCATCTTTTGGCAGTGGCCTATCCAAGGGTATATACAGGCACCTCCAGGTTCTGGTTTTCTGCATTCCTTAACAAAACCACATCTTGCATGCAGTTCTTAAGAATGGGCTGGCTTCTGGGTGGCCGGTTAGCTCATTTGGTTAGAGCGCTGTGCTCCTAACACCAAGGTTGCCAGTTCAATCCCCATGTGGACCACTGAGATGCGCCCTTCACAACTAGTTTGAAATAACTACTTGGAGCTGATGGGTCCTGGAAAAGCACACTGTTCCCCAATAAAAGAAAAAAAGAATGGGCTGGTTTCTTAAACATTTCTGTTCACCCACCCCAAGCCTAGGTGTAAAAGCTGAGTCTCCTTGATAGGAGACATCCTACTGGTGGCCTCATGTAGCACCGTGTTCTCTCTGGGTCCCGGGCTTGTCTGACACAAAGAATGGTATGTGACTGCCCAACAAATGGAAGAGACAAAGTGCCCTTCCTTGCAAGCCTCCACAGGCAGATGTGACAGTCTCCGCCGGGCCTCTGCTCTCTCTAGTCAGGGTTCTAATGGGTTATTTTCCTGTGCTAGCTACATTGATTCCAGTCAAAGATCCTTTGGAGGGGGTCGGGAGGCTGGCACAACTCAGAGCTCCTAAGCAAGGCAACTCTGAGAATAACTTCACCCTAGAGGTGCTCCTGGACCCTCTGCCACTTTCCTGGAGGAGCCCTGGTGACACTCAGCAGTTCTGGTAGAGGAGAGGTACTTCCCAGTTTTCCTTTCTACCTATTCAGACCGCTCCCTCAGATCCTCCTGGTTATTGAAAAAGTCCTGAATTAATGCCTCCCCGTTTGGAGCAGTCTGGGCATTGGAAGCATCTGGCAAAGAGCCCTGCTTTTGAGCCTGGGAAACGGTGCCCGATCCTCCCTAACTCGCCCTGAGGCCCAGGCCCAGGGAAGCTGCTCCTGCCCTTCGGGAGGGGAAGGTGGGTGGAGCCGCTGTGCGCATTGCCCTGGGGCAGTTATTTGAGACTGTAAGGCTGCTTGGCCAAGGAGAAGCCATCTCCTGTTGCGCAGATGCTTGCCTCTCTGAGGAGCTGAGCTGGGAGCCTCTGCCAGGTCTTTAAATAGCTGCCCCATTGATCTGCCCCCCCACCCCCACCCCCGGGGCAGCAGCCGCGCTGGGTCAGCCTTCATCAGGTGCTCAGGTTTCCCTAGAGCAGCGGTTCTCAACCTGTGGGTCGCAACCCCTTTGGGGGTGGACGGACCCTTTCACAGGGGTAGCCTAAGACCATTGGAAAACAAAAAGATTTACATTACGATTCATAACAGTAGCAAAATTACAGTTCTAGAGTAGCAACGAAAATAATTTTATGGTTGGGGGTCACCACAACTTGAGGAACTGTATTAAGGGGTCGCGGCATTAGGAAGGTTGAGAACCGCTGCCCTAGAGGCTCCAGTCAAGCGCCCTGTAATCGCACCAGTTTCCATTGATCTGATGCTTCCTATTCGCGTCTCCTAGGCCTGGGGAGAGGGGTGGGGTTGGCTTCTTCAGTGAACAATGACAGTATCTTCTGTCAGGGCTGTTATGAGGATTAAATATCCATAAAGTGCTTTATAGGGGACCTGGACTCAATAGATTGTTGTCTTGCAGTTTATTACTGCCGCCGCGGCTTCTGGTGCTTCTTATATACTTTAATATATATTCATGCATATTCTCCCTCTCTCCTCTTCTTCCTCCCACTCCACACCCCCACCCCCACCCCTGCACTTTCTGACAAAGCCACCACCATTTTGTAAGTCTGTAGTTCCTCTCCAAAACTCACGGCAAAGTGAAAGGATTTTTAGGTTGCCATCACACAACCAACGTGGTCACCTTAGTTCAGGTGGGGAGGTAAAGTCGTGAAATGGTCAGCTTAATAAATATGGGGATATTCTCCTATCTTCATCCCAAACGCTAAAGAAGGTCACTTTCTCTTTAAATGCAAATTACCTCCTGCCAGCTCAGTTTCCACCCCTTCTGTTCCCTAGTAGGAGAGTGCTGAGGTCGGAGGAACCGGCACCCAAGCATCACTCCGGACCCCAAACCTCCAGGTCAGTTGCCCCTTTCAGGAGTGGGCGGGGACCAAATGACGCGGGTCGACACTCCATTTGGGATCCTGGCTCCTGAACTGAGCAATCTATTGGCTTATGGAACGTAGCTTTGGGAACTGAGCACGGGAAACAGATCCCGGGTCACCCCCAGCAGTTCCTAGGGAGCAGGGGATCCTGCTCCAATTCTTCTATCAATTCCCTGATTGGGCCAAACTGCTGCTGGGCGAAGCAGATGACGTTGACACCAGTCTCCCGTCCACTACACGCCCTCAGTGCCAGCCAGCCATATACCAATTGAAATGCTCATGCCCCCAGCGCCACCACCACCCCGGAGTGCAGAGCCAGACTTGATGATGGCAGTCTGGAGTGAGCAGCTCAGTGGGGAAAAACCTCTGTAAAGGGCCCCCAGACCTCCCTGGGGAGGACCTCCGCCGACCTGGGCTTAGGAGGCCGAGCAGTGCCAGCCACAGACCAGCCATTGTTGGGACCAAGGTAGCCAGCTGCTGACCGCCCCCTAGCTGAAGCCAAGCAGGGACTTTCTGAGTGGGGAGGGTGAGCCGCTGGAAGCATGTCCCAGGGAACTTCTGGGAGTTATCTGGTGTTTGCGGTTGGGGGTGGGTGGAGAAGGTGAGATGCCAGTGTCTAAGTGGGGGTAACCCCCACACTGAGCCCTGCCCTGCATGCCACAGCTTCTCCCACTATCACCCATCCACTGGTGGTTAGTGCTTGACACGGGTTTTCCCAGGCACCCACACCCACACCTCCTATGCTGTGACCTCCTATGCTGACAGGGTTTGTCAGCATCTGCCTAAGCAGTAGATAAATTGAACGGGGCTGGTTAAGACACCCCTAATCCTTAGCTGGTCTCCTGCCAGCTCACATCCACCCCGTCTCCCTCCACATTTCCTCTACCAGCTCCGCCCCCTCAGCTACAGGGGCAGGAAACTCCAGCAGCCTCAGGAGAATAGTATCTGGTGCAGACCTTTCAGGAGGGGCTGGAGGGCAGGTGGGACCTGGATGGATCTCAGAAGGTCCTTCAAATACACATCCATGACCCCAGAAGAGGGCCCTGCCCATACTGGACAGATGAGGGGACAGAAGCCCTGACAGACATGAGGGGACAGTTAGAAGTTCCCAGGCCCCTTCCTTTGCAGCTCTCGGGGGTTGCTGGGTGAAGGAATGACTTTCCCCCTCACATCTCAGTGGAACTGCCTCCCTCCCAGGGCCTGAGGCCCAGCCAGCCTCAATGGAGGACAAGAAGAAGAAAAGGAGTCCCAAGCCCTGCCTGACCCAGCCAGCTGCGGCCCCAGGAACACTCCGCAGGGTCCCTGTGCCCACCAGCCACAGTGGCTCTTTGGCTCTGGGCCTCCCTCATCTGCCTTCCCCCAAGCAGCGGACCAAGTTTAAGAGGTGAGTACAGAGGAAAGCAGGGCCAGGAGGGAGGGACCCCAACTCTGGGTTGAGTCCTAGGGGCAGAAAGGGAAAGCTTTTACTTACTAAGGAATAATTGATGTCTTCCCTGGGACTGCCCCAGCTGGCCCTTGAAATACTCAGACCAATCCCTACCCAGGTGGGTCACTGGGATCACGTGTATGATGATGCACCTCAGAGCAGGCAGTGAACAGTGCTGCCTGCCAGGAAGTGAGAGTCAGAGAAGGCTGTGGGCACACTGGAGGGAGAATGTTCTGAGGGGCTTACCTGGCATAAGTATGGAAGAAAAGTATTGCCTGGAAGGTTCTGAAAACCACAGGTGGTTTAGTGGCCCTAGAGTGTCATAGGACAAAAATGGTGAGGGGATACTCAAGTGTACAATTTGAAGTCTCTGCTTAATTTTTTTTCTTTTAATTATTTTTTATCATGAAATACACATTTTTTAGAATTAGTTTCAGCTGTACAACACAGTGCAATAGTTATACTTTTTTACCCCTCAAAGTGACAACCCTCCTCCCCCATTAATTTTTTTAATGATTGGGAATTTGTGTGTTCTCTCTCCAACGGCTTGCTGTTTCCCTGTGGCTTTGACACTCCCTGCCAGAGGGGCATGTTTGGGGACTGTCACAGTAGGTGTAGCTGAAGCTCAGGGCTGGGGCAAGAATAGGAGGAAGTACAATTGGAAAAGCGGGTGTGGGGTAGGGGCCAGGCTGGGAAGATAGTTCAATGTTATCCTGAGGGCAAAGGAAAATTCAAAAGTTTTTAACCCTTTTGCTGCGATGGTCTGATATATCTGAATGAATATATCTCAAATTTTTATACATAAAAATGTCATTTATCTACAAAGCAGCTCAAATTGTTATTATTAAATGCATAAAATAGTCAAAATATCAACTTTTTGCTTTTTGTGGATTTCTGACACATTTTGGGGAAAAAAACTTGAAATCAATTAACACAGCAAAAGAGTTAAATAGAAAAGAGACAGAAAGATATTTTGGGGAGAGATAAGATGGCTCTCGTGGCAATAGGAAGTAACTGTCCCCAAATTCACTGAGAACCAGTGAGGACAAGTGATTCACCCAGGGTCACAGGAGGAATGACTGGGAATTCAGAAAGGAAACGAGGAGTCCCCTTCCAGGCATGGCTCTGGCTGTATCACTGGCAGAAAAGACTCCTGCTGACCTCTTAACACCCACCCCTCCTCACCCACTCCCTTCCCTTCACTAATCCCAGTGCCCTGGGCAAGGCCAGAAGAACAAAGATCCATGAGTGGATAGGAAGATGAATTAGTGCATAGATAGATGGTACAAAAGACTTGGCAGCGGGCTGGCCGAGTGGCGCGTTGGTTGGGAGTTCCCTTGGGACACCTGCAGCTCTGAGCAGCAGGGCCCCAGTTCAGATCCCACATTAGGGCCAGTGATGCTGCGCCCTCTACAGCTAAGATGGTGAACAACAGCTCGACCTGGAGCTGGGCTGCTGTGAGTCGTCAGCAATGGCGTAGGCTGCAAGTGGGGGTGGCTGGCAGCTGGCGTGAGCTTTCATGAGCTGCCGTGAGCCGCTGTGAGCGGCTGTCCAATGCCAGTGGCTGACCTGCCTCACCTGGGAAGAGCGCAATGATAATCACCAACATAGGCCAGTGAAGCGACGTCCTCCTCAACTAGACTGAAGAACAAAAGGACAGCAACTTGTCTGTTCCCTTTCCCTGATTCCCCAATAACATCTTTAAAAAAAAACCATGGGAGTACCTGGCTGCTCCCACCCTGACCATAGTCACTTCCACCCCACCCAGGGTAGGAAAGGAGAAATGCCGCCCAGTGCTGGCTGGAGGTGGGGGTGGCTCTGCAGGCACCCCCCTGCAGCACTCATTCCTGACTGAGGTGACAGATGTCTATGAGATGGAGGGGGGACTGCTGAACCTGCTCAATGATTTCCACTCAGGCCGACTGCAGGCCTTCGGTGAGTCCTGGGGGCTGGGCTTAGAGGGTATGTGGGTGGGGCTGGAGGGCCTGGTCTGTGGGAAGCAGCTGGGACCAGGGTGCAGAACTCGCTCTCAGGGCTCAGACATATGCCATCCAGGGAAGGAATGCTCCTTCGAGCAGTTAGAGCACGTGCGGGAGATGCAGGAGAAGCTGGCCCGGCTTCACTTCAGCCTGGATGTGTGTGGGGAAGAGGAGGAAGAGGAGGAGGAAGAGGATGGAGTCACTGAGGGACTGCCTGAGGAGCAGAAGAAGACAATGGCTGACCGCAACCTGGACCAGCTGCTTAGCAATGTAGGTCAGGGCTGGGTACTTCAGTTCTTGGGGGCACTAGAGGGTCGGGGAGGTACATGCTCCCAAGGCCATTACTAGCCCCTGGGTGAAAAGCTGGGAATGCATGGAGCCAAGAGCTCTTGGCCCCTCAACCCCTACCAGAAGACGGCCCCCTGAGCATCTGAGGTTTGGCCTGGTGCTCCTCCTGACACAAACCTCTCTTTCTCTCTCTCTTGACAGCTGGAAGATCTTAGTAATTCTATGTATCCTTTCCAGGGGACCTGACTGTTGTATGTGTGTACATGGTACCCAGAGATGAATTCAGTTTCCTCTTTCCCACCCCCACCCCAGGAGTATTTACATATAACCAACATCCCTACCCCTTTCAGTCCTACTGAGTCAGAATTAGCTACAGACTGCCCCCAGGAAAAGGAGTACAGAAAGAATTTCCCAAATATTAGGAGAAAGGTGGTTGCAGGGAATATGTTTTACCTACCTATCAAAATCTTTGCAAGTACTTTTGCTGACACTAATCCATGGCAAAGCTTGTCTAATGTCTTCCTACTCTTTCAGCACTCAACAATTATTTTCACTAATTTAGATTATCTCCCCACCTAGTCCTAGTCAGAAATAGTGCAGGTGTACACACCTGCAGGATATAGACCAAAAGAGAAGAGGGTAAACCACCTAGCAAGAAATGCAAGTAAGGACTGCAACCTCAGACCGCAGACCACCCCAGAGTCCCTTGCCCAGCCCCTTGGCGCATTTGGAGAAACTAAGCCTGTGCAGCATGGGAAGATAGGGCTGGAAAGACTGGGGTTGAAAGCATCACAATCCTTGACTGGCACAGACAGAAGTTGCACCTGGCGGAGAACGCTGAGCCTGAGGAGCAGTCAGCTATGTAGGTGTCGGACCCAGGCCCAGACTACCCCCTCTTATTAACTTCAAACTGTGACTTTTTACGGACTTGTATTCCGCGGCCCCCCAGGTGCTAAGGAGAGGGGGGTATTGGGTGGAATTAAACCACAAAGAAAGAAAACGGCTCCGTGTCCTCCCTCCCCTCACTGCGCCTTTACTCGGCAGGGGCGCCCCAGCAGACACATCACTGGGCAACACACTTTTGGTTTGGGAGGCCCTGCTCGAGCAGGCGGGAATCCCGGGTGGGGCTCAGGTAGTGAAAGTTGAGGGCGGGCGTCGGGACGCTCCCCGCCAGGGCGAGATGGGGAAGGTTGCCATGGAGACGGCAGGGCGGGGCCTGCGCGTGGCGCAGATTAATGACGCACTGCGCAGGCGCCGGGAGGCCCGCAGGACCGTTGGTACCCGGATGGAGCCGGAGCAGTTGGTTCGGAAAGTGTCGGTGCTGCAGGTGCGGGTGGGGGCGGGAGGGGGGGTGCACCATTCCCGCAATGGGATCTTGGATTCGGACCTTTGAACGAGATGAGGCTATCACATTTAGTCGCCTATCTGCGTGCCCACCCCTGTTGATACCGACACCCCCTCCCCTAAAGAATGCTGGAACCCACGGACCCCCACATGACACCCCACACACACACACAACTCGCTCATGCGGGATCATGGAAATGGCGGGAAGGGCCTTAAATCGAAGAGGGGGATCCAGTCCAACAGGCTCCCTTGACGCCCTGGAGCCCCAGCGCACAGTATCACCTATCCCTTCCCCGTGACCGGGTCCCCTATTGCAGTCATTGGGATGACCTCAGGAGAATTCCCAAAGATGCCTTCCATTTTTGCAGTGATGAGGGTTTTCTTTCCCCTCGTTCTCCACACCAGGCCTGCGTCCGGGGCTTCTTGGTCCGACGCCAGTTCCAGAGTCTGCGAGCTGAGTATGAGGCTATTGTACAAGAGATCGAGGGTGACCTGGGCACACTTCAGTGGACGAAGGGCTGGATTCCTAGACCCCGATTTCTCCCACAGGTAGTACACACCCCAGGAGGCGAAGGGAGGGGAAGGTGCGACCTGGGCAGGGGATTCAAGGAGGTGGTAGAATCCACCCTTCCTGCTGAGGAGCTTTTTTCAATGAGTGGGCAGACTCAGCTCCTCTCACCCCAATCCTGAATCCTCGCCAATATGTATGCTAAATCATGACACTCAGGTACTTGGAGGGTTTCGCCCTGGGGCTCTCATACCTCTGACTGATTTATCAGAAGGCAAAATCCCATCAGACCTGGAAAGCTGGAGAGAGGGTACCAAAGCCAAAGCAGGAACTATGGAGCTGCTTCCCATGTAAGGAGCCTGAGAGAGAAGCCATCCAAGAGGAGATGATGCTGAAGAAGTCAGGAAAGAGCTCAGGAAACTCAGGAAGTCTTCCCTGTCGAGATGACAGCCCCTGGCTTCAGGACAAGCAGAACAGGAAACCCAGCCAAGAGGAGACCAGAGATATGCCAAGGATGGAGACCCCAGGTATCTCTCTGCCTAGATCAGGGTAAGCCCCTGACCCTCTCTGGGCCTCAGCCCTCCCATCTGAAAAGTGAAAGGCTTGTGCTAGATAAGCTGCATCCCTTTCCTTTTTCCTTCTGCCTGGTTGGGGGCAACTCATAGGTGGGCAGGCAAGGGTTCCAAGGTCTACCCCTCAAGGTTGCTCCCTTCTTTCCTCCCTCCTTCACAGAAGCTGCAGGTCCCGGACTGCCCCACAGCCAGACTGAGCTCCAGGAGCTCCAGTACTGCCGCAGCCACTTGGCCATGGAACTGCTGTGGCTACAACAGGCAATCAATAGCCGTAAGGAGGTATGCATTGATTTGGAGCCCTGTCTGTACATTTACAGCCAAGGGTGGGGGATAGGGAAAAGCCTCCCGCCATGCTTAAGCAGGCCTGCCTGGTACAATGTCTGTTCTTTTCTCTAACAGTACCTAATTCTCAAACAAACACTGAGATCCCCAGAGGCAAGCCAAACCAGAGATGAGCCCAGCATGTGTCCACACCATGGGGCACAAGCCTGTGAGAGGGCTGGATCACAACATAACCCACCACTGCAAGACCAGTCCTACAGAGACAGGACCACTGGAGAGCCAGATCATGCGGATAACTCCTGCTGGAGGCTCAAATCACAACCCAACAAATCCCCAGAAAGACTGGCCACTATAGACAAAACCACTGCTGGGGCTAAGTACAGGGACTCATGCTACAGGAGGGCTACACCACAACTTCCCACAACATTGGATAAACAGGCCTTAGAGAACAGACTCACCAAAGAGCCAGACCATGGGGGACAGACCTTTGGAGGGACCTGCCTACAGCCGATGCAATTCCAGGAGGACCAGACCCCCAAAGACCTCAAACCTAGGGGCAACTGTTCTAGAAAGGCCAGGACACAGGTGCCCACACTCTGTGAGGACCCAGATATTGAGGATAAATCTCCCATAGGGCCAGACCACAAAGAACCTGATTGCCAAAGAGCTAGGCCACAAGAGTTGGGCCTCTCAGAGGACCATGTTATCTGGGATAGGACTTTGGCAGAGCATGGTGGCCTGGATCTCTGGAAGACTAAACCACCCAAGAGCCAGACCCCCAGTGATGAAAGCTCTAGAGATAGAGCCTCCAATGAGTCTTGCCATGAAGGATGGAAAAACCAGAGGACTGGACCATAGAGATCAAAGCCACCTGAGAAACTATCTTCCACAGGGTCAGACAACACAGGAGAGGACCACTGGAAGGGCAGGCTGTGGAAAACAGGACCACTAGGCTAGACCCTGGGGAGCCAGGGTAGGACCAGATTCCCAAGGGGAATGATGTGAAATGGCGAGGAGGGAGATAGGCCTTCATCCAAGCTCCCTGGTACCAGCTCTGCCTCCTACCCCTGCCCCGGCCATTGGTGGCTAATGGGGCCAAGAGAAGCTGGAGCAAAGAAGGGGGTGGGGGGGGGGTAGGGGGGGAGCACCAGTACAGGGAAAGGAGGGAGAAGGACACTCTTTCATCCTCTGCCTGTGACTCAATCCAAAGTTCGGAACAAAGAGTCACCTGGGGTAAGTAAAGTGAGGGGCCCAATGGAGAATAAAGGTTTTTCTTGGATTCTGAGCCTGGTTGCATTCATCTGCCTTTGGTCAGGACAGGCTCTGGGCCCTCCTGTTCACTTCCTACTGACAAGGCATCTTCCCCAGAGCTGGCTGGGAACAGACTAGTCAGCCCTTGGGCTGTAGAGTGGCAGGGAGGTTCTGAGAAAACGTCCCTCTGCTCAGTATTGGAAAGTCTGTGTTTCAGTGTGATCTCTGCCACTGCCTCTCTCACTGAGCCCCAAGGTCTTCCTTGTATATAGTGATCACTCGCCCTACTTTTGTGAGGTCCCACCAAGGACAGATTGAATGAGACCCTGAATGTAAATAGATGTTCCTGCTGAGGCTCTGCATTCCTGAGTGAGAGGGCAGCCCCCCCCCCCACCTCACCTCTGATTGGCACTGCTCCCAGCCCTGGTTTAGTTGCCTGGCAACAGCTCTGCGTCTCTAGCTGAGAACACTATGGTGGGTGGCAGTCCAGCAGCCAAGAGGATAGTGGTACACCGGAATGGGGACCCTTTCTCCCCAGGCCGCCAGCTGGTGGGACAATGCCACTTCCCCACCCTGAAGAACTTCCTTGGTGAGGCAACATCAGCTGTACAGGCCCCACTGGCTGTGCGTGCCCTCTACACGCCTTACCATGGCCACCCTATCACCGACCTCACTGACCTGCAGAACGGAAGGCAGTATGTGGCTGCTGGCTTCGAATGATTTCGCAAGCTTGTGAGTGAGTTGGGAGTAGTCAAAGAGCCTAGGGAGGGAGGCAATAGCAATAGCAATATCATGTGTTCAGTACTTACTCTGTACATACAGGCACTTTATATACTATTTCGGAATGCAGTAACCCTATGAAGGGGGTAGTCTTGTCCCCATTCTTTAGAAAGGGAAATCAAGACAGTGAAGTTAAGCGATAAGTAAAATAGTGGAAGGCCGACTGTGTGGCACATTGGTTAAGAGTTGGCTCAGGAGTGCCGGCTCTGAGCAGCAGGGCCGTGGCTCAGATCCCATATGAGGGTCAGTGACGCTGTGCCCTCTACAGCTAAGATAGTAAACAACAGCTGGACCTGGAGCTGGGCTGCCATGAGTCGCCGGTGACAGCGTAGGCTGCAGTGGGCTGCCATGAGTTACCATGAGTGGCTGGCAGCCAGCGTGAGTGGCCGGCAGCTGGCATGAGCTGCCATCCAGTGACTGGAGACCGTTTGCCTCACCCGGGAAGAGCACAATGATAATACCAACATGGGCCAGTGAAGCGACGTCCTCCACGCTAGACTGAAGAACAAAAGGACAGCAACCTGTCTGTTCCCATTCCCCAATGCTGTTCCCCTCCCCCAATTTCCCAATTAAAAAATAAAATAGTGGAGCCACAGTTCAAGCCGAAGTATGACACTGATGTTTGATGTTTATGCCCATCACAGCCAGGACGAGCCTGTGGGAAGGAAAACATTCTCCCACAGGCTGAGCCCATTTTCCCACAGTCTCTTCCTGACTGGATCCTATAACTACACCAAACACTCTAAAACCATCCATCACTCCTCCCTGCTGGGTTTGGGTTTAGGCATCCGGTCCTCTGCATTAGGCTGGGGTCATCCCCCTTTGCAGGGTGGGGTTGTGCCTTCCACGATGGGAGAAGAATTTGAGTATCTGAGCTTCCAACTTAGATCTGGCTTCCAGGTCCTACTCTGTTCTCAGCTGAGGTTGCTCACTGTAACATAAGGAGCAAGGGATCGGGAACTGGACAGACTGAGAATCTGGGCTGCCACTTACTTCTGTTACTTTAGGTGATTCACTTAACTTTCTCTCAGTCTCATACAAAATGAGATAAAACCTACCTCATAAATGAGAACATTTCTGAGATACAGTAGGATGTTTGAATGAACTAGTTTCTCACAAGTTTTAATCTTATGGTTAGTGTCTGAGACCCCAGTCTGGATGTTCAGCCTGACCCAGAGCCCTAAGGCAGCTTCAAGTACCAGCATGTTTCTGGACTGCGAAGGCTGTGAGAAGGTTCCAGTGGGAAGAGATGCCTGGTGAGCTGGGCCTCAGCTGGACCTCAGCCCTGAACTCTGGCAGCTACTGGGCTGTTGAGGTCCCAGGCTATCTAAGATGACCTGTGACCTATCTGTCCTTTCAGCTATTTACCCCCTGGAGGGAAGGATCCAGGTGGAAAAAGCAGCAGATTACCAGTAAGTCTTCCCACTCTCCCAGGGATTGCCCCCAGCTTGGTCTGGGAAGCCAGAGGCCCTAGAAATAGCAGGATCTGCCCATCCCATGGGGGCAATCACAACCACTCTGGAGCAGCTGCTATGTTTCCTGGGTGCGGGATTTCAAGACAACTATTCCATGTGCTTTTCCCAGCTTTTTACTTTATCTCCAGTCTGTGGCCCCAAAGGAAAGAGGAAGCTGTAAAATATGTGGGGCAGGTGGGTGCTTAGAAGGTGACAGGGAGTTAGAAGCACCCTTTGGTGAAGGTATTACTAGTCCTGTCCCTTCTTGCCCGCTCCTGCCCCGTCTGGTTTCTTGCCCTCAGCCTACCTACCTTGGACTGACCCACCCCTAACCAAAGGTCTCAACTCTCTCCTGATTTGGGCACCTGAATTGGATTTCAGGGTCCTCCTGTGACTCAGCACCCGTGTGATGGGGGCTTTGGATGGTGGCTACCTGCAGGTTCCCCCTGCTATAGCTAGTGAGTGCTGGTGTCAGGGAGCAGAGGCATAGATTTTTGTTTCAGTAAGACCAAGAAAATGTGGGTAGGCTTGTTCCAGGAGCCCCTGGTCACTGGTGGGGATATGAAAAGTCCAACATGCTTGATTGGTGAAAACCAATGTGCTGGTTCTTGGACCATCTTCTGGTCCCTATTCCACTCTTCTTCCTCTCACATGTAGGCAGTTCTGGGGACCCTTCCCCTTACCAGGCTGCTCTTTGTCCCAGTGTGTTCAGGAACAGGGACCTGTTAAGTCCTCCATTTAGCCTGAAGCTGTCCAGGATGCCAGCGAGGACTGGGAAACAGCGTTAAAGCTCCTGACCAAGAAGGCCAGATTACAGAGCAGGGCTGTGTGCAAGTAAGTATGGGGACTGGGCTGTCCTTGATGAAAAGACAAAAAGAAAGCACGTTTCTCCACATGGGACTTCCTTCTATGTGACAGGGAGAGGCCCCTCTAGCCCAGCTGTTGGAGCCAGGACAGGGGCTAGGTGACTGGCCCTGGTGCCCATAGGGCCAGTGACCAAGGAGTACCTTGAAATTGTTGTACTCACCCCCTCACAGTCTGCCCAATATGATGAAGCATCTTATCCACTGGCTCTTATCTACTCACCTCTCTCTCCCAGACTCTGCACCCTGGAGGGGCTCCCACTGTCAGAAAGGGAGGCTCTGGTGAGTGGCCATTACTATGTGGCTGTAGGAGATGATGAGTTCAAGGCCCTCCCCTATCTGGAGCTGCTGGTGCCTAACCCCTCACTGCTCAGATGCTGCTGGTATGTATGTGTGAGGTGGGAGGGGTAGCAGGTTAGAACAGCGGAAACCACCCTGTCTCCATGTCCTCCTCTGCCTACTACAAGCCATTTCTTTTTTTCATTTCAGGCATCCCCAAGACCCAAAGTCTGGGCCCCACAAGCAGTGGGTAGGTGATGTGAGAAAGGAAGGGGAGTGACTAGCTGACTCCTCCTCCAGCTCAGGCTCTGCCATTATCTCACTGCCTCCTCTCAGTAATCTTGTGAAAGAGAGATTATTATTCCCATTTTCCAGAGGAGAGACTGAAGTTCAATGGAGTGAAGTAATTTGTTTAGAGTGACACAGTGATTGGGCTTCAGGGACCAGACCAGAACCTGGTCGGAAAGCTAGCTCATCCGGGCTCTAGGAAGATCTTCAGGACTCTGACTTCCTGGACCTAATGCTTTCTTGCCAGGTTGGATGCTAGGAGACAGAACCGGCATATCTAGCATAGCAGGGTCCAAAGGAGCTTATCAGTTCCCCATCTGGTCCCAGGCCTGAGCTGTCCAATGAGATTAGCCAGTGAGCATCAGGTATTGGAGGACTTGGCCTGGTTTCACTGGGCTTCTTTTTTTTTTTTTAAAGATTTTTATTGGGGAATTGGGGGGATGGGAACAGCTCTGGGGTACTGGGGGAAGGGGAACAGACAAGTTGCTGTCATTTTGTTCTTCAGTCTAGTTGTGGAGGACGTTGCTTCACTGGCCCAAGTTGGCACCATCATTGCGCTCTTCCTGGGTGAGGCAGATCAGTTGCCAGCTTCTGGATGCTGGATGCTGGCTGCATACAGTAGCCCATGGCAACCCACTGCCACAGGGGCTGCAGCCTATGCCGTCGCCGGTGACTCACAGCAGCCCAGCTCCAAGTTGAACTGTTGTTCAGCATCTTAGCTGTGGAGGGCAGTGTCACTGGCCCTCTTATGTGGGATCCGAACCGGGGCCCCCTGGCGTCCAAACCAGTTCTTAACCATCGCGCCACTCGGCCGGCCCTCACTGGGCTTCTTGAGTGCAAGGCACCAGCTGCTCTGTCCCTAGATAAGGCAGCCTGATGGGAAGGAGCAAGGAGGGAGGATGCAGGCTATAAAGATGGACAAGACCTCCTCTAAAAGCTCCCCCAGGCACCAGGGGTACTCAAGCCTGGACTGGGAGTAGAGAAAGTAGAGTCAGTGCCTGTGGCTCAAGTGCAGTGTCCCCTTTACAGGCCCATGGCCACAGGGCACAGGCAACCTGGCCCTCTCCAAAGGAATCAAGCCAAATTGAGCCACTTGTTTTCTATGCCAGACCCCAGCAAGCCATTCAGGCAAGACGCATACTCCCCACTCTCTCATTTCCAACAGGTGAGGGGACCCCAGGACCCAGGCCCTTTTCAGCTACCTTCTGACAAGGGACACAGGATGGTCCCTGCTGCTGGGAGGATGACCCATGGGGACAGAATGCCCAAGTACAGAGCTGGCCCTGACCTCAGCACAGCTGTCTACTACTTCCCCGTGTGCATATCCAGTCCCTTGCATCTTCACAGGGACTTAGCATATGAAAAGAAGCACATGGAAACTCAGAGCAATGAGACTTCAGGGTAGGATTTGGGAGGGATGGGCATGGGGTCAAAAGGCCTTCCTCTGAACTACCCTGCCATCCTCGGAGGTAATGAGGAATGTGGAGAAAGGCTCAGGGAAGGGGAAGGGGCTGGGAGAGAAGGTCAAGGGAAAGAATGCTGGGGAATCCCCAGCCTGCGCATCAGCAGATGTTGCCTCCATCATCAGGAGTGAAGGGAGTATATGGGGCTCCCCACCCAAGGTAGGAGACAGCAGGGGCCCAGGAAGCAGCAGATGATGAAGACACCTGGACAGAGGAACACTTGGATCAAGTGGGCTGGGGTTTGGGGCTAGAAGCAGTATGTTGGGACAGGAGGAGTTCTGAGCCGGAAAATGGCAGCCCTGGGTCCAGTTCTTCCCCACTGTGACTGTGAACAGATCTCCTAACATCTGAGAGCCCGACTGACTTCCTACCTTGTTAAATGACAGGGCAGGTCCTAATTTCTAAAGTCTCTTCCTTTTCTGGGGTTGGGAAACTCAGCTGCGGGCTGGAAGTTGGAGATGGGATGCTAATGGATCCACTTTGTACGGCCTTCGCCTCCTCCAGAAGGCAGCACAGATAGTGGAAGAGGCCCTGTCCCTGGAAAACCAGCCTGGGGCTGGGGCAGCTATCTTAGCCTCAGCTGCTGATCCGCCATCTTGAGAGCCAGCAGTTCCAGCCAGGAACTGGGGACTGCCACTCCACAGCCACCTTTTATCCTCAGCCTCCAGCAGCCTGTTGTAGAGGAACAAGCACTCCCTTGTGCTCACAGGTACGCTGTAGCCACCTCAGACCCTCCCCACTCTTCTGCTCCTAATCCCACAGCCCAGTCTTGCTTTCCTCTCTGAGCAAAGCAGCCCTAGCTATGAGGCCATTTCCTTATGGGGTTCTCTGGCCAGAGAAAGGAGTAGCCAATTGAGCCTGGGAGAGAGACCAGACTTGGGAGTGGGTCTGTCATAATAAAACAATACTTATGAACCTCCGTCTGTTAAGTACAGATATATTACAACCTACTACTTGCTGGAGTTAGGCAGTGCTGGGGCTCACGGGTGTCTGTCTGTTTGAGAGGGGTAGGCAGTTAAAGATTTCCACCCACCTCATGGGTGGGACATGCAAGGCTAACAGATAGCTCATCTCCCTACATCTACCATTCTGATGCACCTTCTTCCCCTCGGTTCCCCCCTCAGCCAGGCAAGGCTTTCTGACTGAGCCCTGGAGGCCTCCTGTTTGCATTTCTGGTTCAAAGACTATACCTGGCCCTCTCTATGCAGCTGGGGTTCTGCTCCATCGGCCCTGTTGCTGTGATGGTCCAGTTCAGTCCATAGTAACAGTGGCTGGGCTGGGGGCCTGACATGACAGCAGGAAGAGAGCTGCTGGGCAGAGAGGTTGCTGAGCGTGAGTGTGAAGTCTCTTGTGCTAAATCCTTGCAGTTGAACAGCACTTGAAAGTTACAAATCCCTTTCACTCTTGTTCTTTTATTGTGATCCACGAGGTAGCTATTGTCATCATAAGAGATGAGGAAGCTAAGGCTCAGAGGGTAGGTGCTAGGTCCATCTGCTCACTGCCTGCACCTCATGGCCCAAGGGTCTTCCCGGAGACAGCAGAGCTGGAGGGTGGTGTCGGCCTACTCAAAGGGTAGATGGTTGCCCCTGGGTCTTGTTCATTGAGCTTGTGATGCAGAGTGTAATTCCTGCCACGGTGAGCACCATGCCTGCGAATGCTCCTAGGATAATGGGTAGAAATCGAGGGGCTCTGAGCCCAGGCATGCCAGTAGGAGTTGGTGCAGGGCTGAGGGAGGGGCTCAGATGGGGTCTGTCTCCAGACTGTCCAGGGGAAGAAAACTCTGATGGCTGCAAGGAAGCAGGAGAGCTACAAAGGAAAGGGACAGGATGGGATATGGCTCCGGGGAAGAACTAACCCAGGGGTGTCAAGGCCTAAGTAGCTGCTTTCTACATTTGCAGTGGCCTGACTTACGTTTTCCACCAATATCTTCTCCAAGGAACTTCCCGACAATCAGTGTGAAGACGATGGCCAGAGAGTTACTGATGGGCACAGCTAGGGTCAGATCTGAGTGATCAGAATGAAAAGATCTCTGAGATGCAAAAATTACCTTTCTAAGCACAAAACACTTTCATTTCATCATCAAGACAGCCTTTTTGAAAAAGGTATCACATGGCCCCATTTTCCAGATGAAGTCACAGCAAAGCTCAGGATTCAAATCCAGGGCTTCTGACTCTAAATTCAGTGCTCCCTCATGATTCCAGCATGAAGACCAAAACTACAAGGTCTGGGACCAACCTGGTTTGCTGATAAGGAAGAGATCTTTGCACTCAAAGAGAGCTCCTGAAATCTCAAGGATGTCTGGACAGACAGGAACTCAGAGCCCCCAGGGTGCAGCAAAAAAAGTGCAATAACACGAAACATAGCCACCATTTATTAAACACATATTATATGCTGAGTGCATTATGTACACATCTCATTTAATCTCCACAACACTGCAAGAAGAACATTATCATCGTTTTGCACAGATAAAGGGAACAAAGTCTCAAAGAAGTCATATAAATTGAGGCAAATTGAGGATTTAAACCAAAGTCAGCTTGACTCCAAAGCTGTGCCCCTACTGAACTAAATAAATGGATACAGACAAACCAAAGAAGCAGGTGAAGTGCATTTTGTTTGTTTTAGCTCAGGCTGGGGCATCGAGGAGTTAAAAAAGAGAAAAAAAATGTCAGAGGTAGGAGGCCAGGTACCTGTTCAGAACAGGCCCCACAGGACTGGGCCTTAGGTAGAGGTCACCATAGTCCAGGACCTGTTCCTTAGTTTTGAAGCTCCAAGGAACTGACTCCCAATAAACAAACTTGAAAAAGACTAATGGCGTTAACAACACTGATAACTTAAAATGTCTTACACTTAAAATTTGTTAAGAGGGTAGATTTCATGTTAAGTAGTCTCACAAGAAAGAAAAAACAAGAAAGAAAAAACCAAAATCGAATGGATAAATCAGAAGCTGAGTTACTTGTTTACAATAACTCATAACTTCCAGACTGGGATGTTTAGATGGGCTCCTCAGCACATTCTTTCCCAGCACTTCCAGGTCTCACCTGCTTCAAGTAGAGGAGGAGAGAACTGTCCTGCTCCTCATCCCCTGCGAGGATCCACCATGGCTGGCATTCCCCATCCAAGAAAATGACACGACGCCTACCTACTCAGAGCTGCTCCCTTAAGCTTACACACCTTACATCAAATACTGGCTGTGGCTGCTACAGACTGATTTGCAACAGTAGATGGGGAAGGAAGCATCATGGTCAATGGAAGAGCCCGGGCACTGCAGTGACGCAGACATCACCCTCCCCAAAGTGATTCATAGGTGGCCTCCACCACTAAGCATAACAGTTCTGAAAGCCAGAGACCCACCTGTTGATGCCAAAGTGAGGTAGTAGAGAAGGGAGCCACACTGGTTAAGGAAAAAGGGTATCAGGTACTGAAAACAGAAGAAATCTGCAGTCAGTGGGATTGCTTGACTGAGGAGCACTGCCTTCTTTGAGCTCATATAACTTTCCTTGAAGAGAAGAATAGCTATAAGGGCCCAGGGAGCACCAACCCCCTGAAAAGGACCTTTCCAGGGCAGAGGCAAAGTTACTGATTGAACTCCATGCCTTTGCCAGGAATGCCCTCGCCCTCAGCCCTACTAGTTCCCATCCTCCCCATCCTGCAAGTCCCTGAGTGCCAATGTCACTCCCGCCAAGAAGCCTTCCCCAGTCCCCTAGCTCCAGCCTCCCTCCTCTGAACTCAAGCAGCACTTTATCTGTACCTCTCATAGCCCTTAGCCCTGAGAGGTGTTTGTGTCTATGTCTTGTCTTTCCCACAAACCTAGCCTGACGGTGTTGGGGTCAGAGGTAATTCTCCATATCCTTCCTTATCTCCCTCCCCAGGGCCAATTTGATCCTCAAGGCCTCCCTCCGGAAAGGTCTTTTGGCTCAGCATAATAAAATATAATAGCAGACATAGATTAAACACTAATTATGTACTAGACCCAATGCTAAGTGTTTTATGTGCCTCATCTCATTTAATCTTCACAACTGCCCTATAAGATGGTTACTATTATTATTCCTATTTTACAAATGATGAAACTGGGGCTCAAAGAGGACTAGTGACTTCTCTAAGAACGTCTAGCAAGTCAGTGGTGGGGTGCAGATTCTGACCCAGACCTGTTTGACTCCAGAGACTAAACTCCTAGCGGGACTACCTCTGAGAGGTCATTTACAGACGCACCTCAATATTCAAGAAGAGGGTCTTCATCTCCTGCACCAACTGCTGGACCCAGGTCTGCTCATGAACCTGCTGCAGACGGGAGGAGGCCCGCTTCAGCAGTGGCTGTGTGCCACCCCACAGAGCGGCCACGAGCACCAGAGCCAGCACCTGCCCTGGATGGAGATGCGAATGACTCTCTCCCCACCACCAAACGGCTGCTCGCCTGGCCCAGCCAACCTCCGGCCTCCCATCTTCCAGCTAGCAGCCCCCCACATCCCTCCTGCGCTTCCCGACGCCCCAGGTGCGATTGACCTCGGAAGGCCGGGGAGATAGATCCAAGATCCCGGGATTTGAGGTTGTAGCAAGGGTCGGGGTTAGGAAGTGAATAGGAAAAGAACTCGGGGGTGGGAGGGTGGGGAGGTGCGAGAAGCCCATGGAGGGGCGGAGCCGCCTACCCACCGAGAGACGCCGCCATGGCAACGCCGCTCCCCTCCACTTCCTGGAACGGAGGGGCGGAGTCCCATGATCCGGAAGTGACTCTAAAGTCTCTTCCGGTCCTGCTCACGTTGTTTTTGGTAGCGTCAACGCAGGGATGGTGAGTTACCCTGAGTTTAGGGTGTTGCGGTGGGGGTACGCGGCTGGGGCAGGGGCAGATTCTGGCGCTGACACTACTATCTTGTCCCCACAGAAGCCGATCCTGCTGCAGGGCCATGAGCGGTCCATCACGCAGATTAAGTACAACCGCGAGGGAGACCTCCTGTTCACTGTGGCCAAGGACCCTGTGAGCGTCGAAGGGCGGGCGAGCGGGAGCATTCGGAGGGGTCCCGGGATGGGGCGAGTTCATTTTGCCAGGGCGATGGGTGGACAAGCCAGTTTTGCCACGAGCGGGGAATCGAAGAGCGCCCCATTCTAAAAAGTAGGGAGATACCATCCCGGGGGTAGGTGGACGAGAGCATTCTACCCGGAAAGGTGGGAAAGAACTCACTGTTGGTAGAAGGAAGGAGTAGCCGGGAGAAGAAAAGCAAGAGACCACAGTGGAAGTGGGGAGGATCGAGGGTCATTTCGTTCAGGGGACCGGGAGGAGACCGTTCCTGGGAAAGAACAAAACTATTCCACCAGGATAGGGGAACAGACCACTTGTAGAAGGGAAAGCTAATAAAGGTGACCCTGGTCTTACTTCAGTCAGTCCTGTGCCCCAGCCTGCCACTCACTAAGTGCAAACAGTCTCCCAGGGTACTGCCTTTTGAAGTATATCCATAGGGAGAAAGTTAACTCTAGTGGCTAACAGTGGGCCCTCTGAAGCCAAGCAAACCTGATTTGAATCCTGGCTCCTGCAGCTAGTAGTAATGTGATTTTGAGCATGCCATTTAACCTTTCTTAACTTCAAGCTTCTTTTTTTATAAAACATGGGTACTAGCAATTCCTCCCTCATGGGATTATCTGAGATCATTCAAGTAAGGAGCTTAGAGCTTAGCACAGAACCTGGTGTGTATGTGTGCCTAATTAATGTTAGTCACTTATATTTTAAATTCCTTAGACATCATTTTATTGGAATAGCTTCACAGCTACCCTTTGAAGAAGGTATTATTGTCATGGCCATTTTACAGATGGAAAAACTGAAGTTCAGAGAGGAAAAGCACTGTATTTGAGATATTACAGTGAGATAGTGGCAGAGCAGGGACTGGAACCCAGCCTTCCCTACTATCAACAGCTCTCATTTGGACAGGACTCCAAAGCTTTTTTCTGGACTGGCACTCAACTTGACCTTTTATTTTTCTGAGGGTTTAGGAGTCTGGAGGAGGGCTGGGACAGTGGCAAATGGAGATGTTTTTGCAAGCCTCCTGATTCCCCTGCTACTTACCTGCAGGAAGGAGGAGAATCCAGGAGTTGATCTTTTTTAGGAGCAGCCTGCTATTTCCCAAGAGATGAGCAAGAAAAGGGCAGAATCGGGCCTAGCTAGAGACTGCTGAGGGTTCCTGGGGCGAAATAGGAGGCCATTGCTCGGCCTGGGATTGTACCATCCTGTCACATTGTCTTTGACTCCTCCAGATTGTCAATGTATGGTACTCCGTGAATGGTGAGAGGCTGGGCACCTACATGGGCCATACTGGAGCTGTATGGTGTGTAGATGCCGACTGTATCCTTGATTTTGCTCTGAGTGTATGTTCCCAGTGTCTGCCAGCAACAGAGAGGCTGTTGACTTGGAGCTGGGAATTTGGGATGCAGTTGTGTGTCTAGAGAATGATACCTACCTCCTCTTACTCCCTGGTCTGTTCACTGGTTTGGGAAATATTTAGGACAGATTCCAGTTCTGGGTAAGAAGGTTAAAATGCTCTGAGGCTAGAAAGGAAGATGGGCTCTCTTGGGCTAAATAGGGGAGGTGATTCAGTTGGGCTCAGATGAACTTGGTCATGTTTCTTAACACTCTCTTCAGGGGACACCAAGCATGTCCTCACTGGCTCAGCTGACAACAGTTGTCGTCTCTGGGACTGTGAAACAGGTAAACCTGGGTCATTCACTTTTTCAGCAAACAGTGAGGACCTACAGTGTACTTTTTAAGTTAACAGGTTCTGAGGAAATAGAGGTAAATCCAGAGGTGGCTCCTAGTCTAGGGAACAAGAGACAGATGAAAAAATAAAGAAGGGCTGGCCGAGTGACATGTTGGTTAGGAGTTGGCTTAGGACGCCAGCTCTGAGCAGCAGGGCTTGGGTTAGATCCCACATGGCCAGTGATGCTGCGCCCTCTACAGCTAAGATGGTGAACAACAGCTCGACCTGGAGCTGGGGGCTGCAGCCCCTGCTGCAGTGGGCTGTTGTGAGCTACCGCGAATGGCTGGCAGCCAGTGTGAGCAGCTGGCAGCTGGCGTGAGCAGCTGTTCAATGGCCAGCGAGCGGCTGCCTCACCCGGGAAGAGCACAGTGATGGTACCAACATGGGCCAGTGAAGCGACGCCCTCCACAACTAGACTGAAGAACAAAAGGACAACAACTTGACTGTTCCCATCCCCCAATTCCCCAATAAAATCTTTTTTAAAAAAAAGAAAGAAGACAGACAAGAAAAGAGGCACTACAGTAAAATAGAATCCATGTTAGAGGAAGCATAGAGCACTGTGGAAGGCCAGAGGGGGCAATTGGCTGCCTTGGAATGGGAATGGGAACAGCCCAGGAAGGTTTCCCAAGGTAAATGTCATATGAGCAGGGGCTCAAAGGATAAGAAAGAGATCATCACTTTGGCATACGCAGGAATGAAAGCATGGCAAGTGTCATGTCCAAGTCATCTGATCTGGCGGAAGTTCGTATTTCTTGAGGGGAGAAATAGACAGTGGAGAGGATGAAGCAGACTAGGACCAGAACAGGCTTTGAATGCCAAACTCAGGAGCTTGGCTTTATTCTGTAGGACTTGGCATGCCGTGGAGGTCCCTGAGCAGGGAAGATTGGTGGTCTGTTTAGTTTTGCAAGCTCAGGTAGTAGTGGGGAGCATTGGAAGAGCTGAGACTAAAGACGGGATCCTGTTAAGCTGCTCCATTTAGCAGATATTTACTGGGCACCCAATTGTGTGCCAGGTCTATACTGGGTACTGGGGACACAGAGAAATCAGAGTAGGTCTTTGCTGTGGAGGAGCTCAGTCTGACAGGAAGAAAGACATCTTGCAATCCCCTGTGAGCAGTGCCGCATAAGCAGAGTGTCTGAGGAGGGACTGTGGGGAAGAAGTTAAAAGACTTGAGCCAAAGTATAGTAGTGCGGAAGAGGAGGGTGGTGGGTTAGAGTTACTAGAACAGGAGAAACAGTGAGACATGACAATAGGCAGGTTTAGTGTCCTCCCTGTGATGGCAATGGGCAGGGGGTAGCCCAGACTCTGCTTGTCCCCAGGGAAGCAGCTGGCCCTACTCAAGACCAATTCAGCTGTCCGGACCTGTGGCTTTGACTTCGGGGGCAACATCATCATGTTCTCCACGGACAAGCAGATGGGCTACCAGTGCTTCGTGAGCTTCTTTGACCTGCGGGATCCCAGCCAAATTGGTAAGGGCTGGGGCTAGGGCTTGGGTTGATGTGAAGGGCGCGGCTCCAAAGCCCAGGGCCTGACACCTGCTGTCCCACACAGACAGCAATGAGCCCTACATGAAGATCCCTTGCAGTGATTCCAAGATCACCAGTGCTGTTTGGGGACCTCTGGGGGAGTGCATCATCGCGGGCCATGAGAACGGAGAGCTCAATCAGTATAGTGCCAAGGTAAGGAGCTGGGTCGGGCCCGAGCCCACTTGAATGACTCCCTACAAAAAGGCAGGATAGCACAGTGGTTAAGAGCAAGGGCTGAATTCAAATACAGATTTTACCACTTTTTGAGCTGTGTGATCTTGGGCAAACCTGTTTATCTGTAACATGTTTCAAGGGTCTAATGACATCAGGTGTGTGAAGAACTTGTGGCAGATTACTCAGGATCTGTTAATAATGATGACAGTTAAGCATTTTCCTGCCACCGTAGAGTGCCAGGCCCTGTGCTGGGATCTGAGGACAAAGAAGTAAATCAGACATGGGCCCTACCCCAGGGGGAGGCAGACTGGCAAATAGCTAGCACATAGTCAGATTGCGAGTTGTGCCACCATGGAGATCTCAACCAAGTGCATAAAGTGCCCTCTGTCCCAGAGGAGGTGGCACACACATTAAGCCATGAAAAATAAATGGAGCTTCATGCAGGAAGAGAAATACATTCCATGGGGAATAGGAGCAGCACACACAAAGGCAGAGTTAAGGGAGTATATGGATTCTTTAGGAAATCAAGTCTGGTATCATTGGAATGTGGTGTTGGGAAGGTGGACAGGGATTAAATTTTTTGAGTGTCAGGAGGTCAGGCATTGTGATTTTTCTTTAGGTAGTAGGGAGTCTTTAAATGGTTATCGATAATGATTTCCTCTTTAGAAAGCTTTTAGAGGCTACAGTCTGAAAAATAGACCTGAGCGAGGCAGTAGCCCTGGGGATATGGAGTACCTGATGTTTAAGAGATATTTAGGGGTGAAAGATGAAATGGGGGGGTTAAAGAAAGGATAAAGTCCAGGTGGCATTAGATTTCTGATTTGGGTACTTGCGTTCTTGGGGAATGCTGAAGTGTAAATCATTAAAGTTCGTCATTCTCAGCAAGCACTGACCATGGTACATGAGGGACCAGGCCTACCTTCAGGAAGGGAATGGGAACCAAGGTCAAAGGCATAAATAATGCTTGATGCTAGCAAATAGTGGAGCTGATCTGTGCCCCCAGATAGGCCAGACTGCAAAGCTGGTGCACGTTCCCCAAAATGTAAGAGCCAGATTCATGTCTACCATGTGTCCAAATTGATGGAGGAGACACAAACACATTCTTCCCTCCGAATAGGTAAAGATAATGAAGGAAAGGAACTGAATATTTTCTGAGGGCCTGTTATGTGTGAGGCAATGGTGCTCAGGGTCTTTTACAGAGCATGGGCCAAGTACCATGACAACAAAGTCAAATAAGACACAGTTCCCTTACAGTGACCCTGGGCAGTGGGCTTTCAGTTTTCGAGATAGGGAAATGAAGGCACAGAGAAGTACTTTTAAGGGCAGACTCTAAAACTCTGCTGTTGGTACTACACAGTCGAGCAGGTTATGGGAAGGGAAATCAGATGACATGGCCCTTTGAGAAGACCTAAGAAAGGGTGGACATGCAGCAGTCCTCGTGGACTGTGACCCAGGCCCTGGCAGGGAACGGGGATGAGCTCAGGCTCTTATTATCAATAGTTGCATGATCTCCAAGTCACACCCTCTCTGAACCTTCGTTTCTTCCTTTAAAATTTTCCATTAAAATACCCATGTAATAGGATTGTTGTGAGGATTAAATGAAGTAAGGTATTGTTAAGTGTTTAGCACAATGCTTGGCAAATAGCTGTTCAATAAATATTTGTTGAAAAAAGGAATAAATGGACACTGCTCTAACATGATGATGATTAATTAGTAGGTCCACAGATTTGTCACCATAAGCATGTTTTCCTAGATGAACTAGCAGTGTTTATGAAATCTGTACACATGGGCCAGGTTAGAATGTAGGCATTGCCTGGGGAGAGTGAGTAAATGTTGATTCAGGAGAGAGCTAGTCCCAACCCAGACCTCCCCTCCCCTTGATAGGACAGGAAGCAGTATAGAACCCTGGTTGGTGGGGCTAGTGGGGTTCAGGCTGTCAGAGCCTCACTCTTCTTTCTTCCCCAGTCTGGAGAGGTATTGGTGAATGTTAAGGAACACTCCCGGCAGATCAATGACATCCAGTTATCCAGGGACATGACCATGTTTGTCACTGCATCCAAGGACAATACAGCCAAGGTGAGCCTGGGCAAGGGGTCTGGCAGGGCTGCTCTCAACCTTCTGCACAGCTCTCAACTTGCCCAACTTCCCCCAAGAAGGCTCCTTTTACAGATTTTTCCCCTGCCATCTCTCTTCAGCTCTTTGACTCCACAACCCTTGAACATCAGAAGACTTTCCGGACAGAACGTCCCGTCAACTCAGCTGCCCTGTCTCCCAACTATGACCATGTAAGGGGACCCCACCCAGGCTTCCTGCCAAAGCCCCAGAATACTTGCAGGATCTAGATGTTTGTCGAGCAATTAAGATACATACTGGGGGAAAATCGTGTCTGGCAGAAGAGATTTCCAGAGCATCGACAAGGCTGAAGAATTGAAAAGCCAGGGGACCAGGCAGGGGGTGGCTTAAGTATTTGACCTTTGCCTTTAGTATCCTCCCAGTCTGATGTGGGAGATATTAAATTTATAGGGTATACGGGAGAAACAAAATGGGCTTGCCTGTCTTTTGGGGCTGTCTAGGGTTTCTTTTTCCCTTTAGGTGGTGCTGGGCGGTGGTCAGGAAGCCATGGATGTAACCACCACCTCCACCAGGATTGGCAAGTTCGAGGCCAGGTAAAGGGGGAGGGGGCTTTTCCAAATTGAAACCTCATGGAGTGTCTTTCATAATGGACACAAACCACATAACTGAGACTTCCCTTATTTCATTGGCTGCTAGGAAGTGCAGCCAGATCTGTGGCCCTCCTGTGACAAGTGTGTAATATAGAAGTTAAGAGCATGAACTTTCGGGCTCACTCTTGATACTCTAGACACATCACTGTATTTCCCTGCCCAGTTATCCTCAGCTGTATAATGGGGATAGTGATAATATACTTACTCATAAAATTGTGTAGCTTAAATAAATACCTACTAAACTCTCAGAGCACTGCCCAGCACATAATAAGAAAGTGTTAGCTATGTGTGCAGGACACTTGGGTCCAGTCTTTCCCTAACTTCTTATTTAATTCACATTCATTTCCCCTTATCTCAGTTTCCCCACTTTACAGTTTGCACTGGGGAGTGGTACTTCTGAAGTGTTTTGGAAGATGGACTGTCCCTTCTCACCACCCTCTCTCCTCCAGGTTCTTCCACTTGGCCATTGAGGAAGAGTTTGGAAGAATCAAGGGTCACTTCGGACCTATCAACAGTGTTGCCTTCCATCCTGATGGCAAGAGGTAGGGCCTGGTGAAGGGAGTTAAGTTCAACTAGAGTCTGGTCCCTGCCCCACAGGCCCACCCTCTGCCCTTTTCCCATAGGCCTGCCTTCCCCAAAGCAGGCATCTGACTGGCCCCTGGCTATCTTCTTTGCAGCTACAGCAGCGGTGGAGAAGATGGTTATGTCCGCATCCACTACTTCGACCCACAGTACTTTGAATTTGAGTTTGAGATTTAAGAAGTTGGATCTCCATCCTGGCCAGGGAAAAGTTTCCAGGCCAGGGCTCACAGAAAGTTTTGGACTCTGAGAAATAATAAATTAGTTTGGAAATAAATGGTTTCTGGTCAGGTATTTTGTAGGGTCTATTTAATCATTTTTCCTTCTCAGTGACACCCCACCAAATTGATACCAGTCATGGATCCCTTTATTATTGGATCTTCTCCCTGCACTTGGGGCACTTCAAACTTGGAACTTCAATATTATGGGGTAGGCTGGTTGCAGGCACCCTCATCCAAGGTCCAGAGGTGCTGAGGGGCCTGAAGAGGTCTCAGAAATGTCTCAGCCGCTGTGCAAGGCACCAGCGCTTAGGGCTGGGGCTCAGAGGCTGAAACCATTGGCTGAGAGCCTTCCATATTCTCCTTATCTGTCACTATTTGCCACACCTTCTCCCATGCTACCTCTGAAGGCTCAGATGGGCGGATCCAGCGCAGAAACAGTCCTGAGGAGGAGGAGGACATGTAAGAAACCTGAGCAGAGGGGATAACTCCTCAGGGGAGAATGTGGGGTGGGAGGGTCACCTTGCCACAGTCGCAAGCTCTGAGGCTCCACTGAGGGCCAGATGGCCAAAGGATTGAGGACATAGAGTGGGTTCCGGAGTTTTCGTTGCTCTTTTGGCTGATTGAGCCCAGTCCACAAGGAGTGTGTTCGAGTTCTTACTTCACACAGGCACCTAGAGGGAGTGAGTTTCCAGACTCAGCTATGTACGCTGGGATTCTGAGTGTGTGTGTGGGGGGGCCTGATTAGTAGGGTGACCGCCACTGAAGGGGCAGTGATAACCTCCCCTTTTTCCCGCAAATGTTACTGCCAGTCAGATCCTGTACCATGCTCTAGAATAAAGCGGAACAAGACAAAGCTTTGTTCTTAAGGAGTTCAGCTTAGTTTTACCTGAAAGTGTCAGAGAAGGCTAATTAGGGATGTGCCATTTAAGCTGGGTCTATCAGAAGTTCACCAGGTGTGTAAAAACATGGAAATACTGGGCCGGCCGAGTGGTGCATTGGTTAAGACCTGGCTTGGGACGCCAGCTCTGAGCAGCAGGGCCCAGGTTCGGATCCCACATGGGGGCCAGTGACACTGCCCTCTACAGCTAAGATGGTGAACAACAGCTCAACCTGGAGCTGGGCTGCCCTGAGTCACCAGCGACGGCGTGGGCTGCCATAAGCTACTGTGTGTGGCTGGAAGCCAGCGTGAGCAGCTGGCAGTCAGTGTGAGCTCCCAAGAGCCACCGTGAGTGGCCGTCGAGAGGCCCACGACCAATCTGCCTCACCCAGGAAGAGTGCAATAATAATACCAACTTGGGCAAGTGAAGCAACATCCTCCACAACTAGACTGAAGAACAAAACGACAGCTACTTGTCTGTTCCCCTTTCCCAATTCCTCAATAAAATCTTTTTAAAAACCCCAAAAAACATGGAAATACTTGCGGGGGAAACTGCATGAGCAAAAGCAAGAAAGTGGGAAAGGGCTTAATGTGAATGTTGATAGATCGGGACTGGTGAATTTTTTAAAAAACTGATGAGTGGTGAAAGTGGAGATAGAGCAGTGTGGAGGCTGTTCCATGGTCCACATGGAAAGGAAAAAGGATTGGAGTTGGTAGGAGGGGGTTTTAACAGGAGAGGACTAAGCTAAGAAATTGTTAGGAGAGAGGCTAAAGACGCAGGATGGAGAGGAAGGAGGTAAACAAAGATAACAGTTTCTAACCTGAATGACCCATGAGTGCGGTTATGAAAACAAGCGGATGGAGGAGGCTGGGCAACCAAAGATAACTAACTGATCTCCACATTCCTGAAGCGGAATGAACCCTCTCCCCATTTCAGTATGATAAGAAAAAGATGGCTTTGGGGCCCTTATTGGGAGCATATACAACCAAATAAAAATAACCACCACTTGTGTGCCCACTATATATGCCAGGCACTGGGCTAAGCATTTTCCATGCTTTTACTCAGCTAATCCTCAAACACACCCCCGATAGATTTTGGCTACAATCATGATTTCTGGTACTGATGAGCAAACAGACTCAGGTTTGCTTAGGGTCACCCAGCAGGTGAATGGTGGAGCCAGGATTTGAACCCAAATAACTGGACTCAGCTTTCAACCTCTATTCTGTCGCTTCACTAGAATCAACCTTGCAAAGTGGTGGAGAGCCCCAGAAATGATTTATTTTGCAGCAACTTTCCCTTTCAGTCCTTGTTTTTAAGCTAGCGGTGCAATTGCTCTTGGCTATGGATAGAGTGGGTAGATGCAGAGGATTAGCCTTGGACACACCTATCTCTGGGTTTGCAGAAGTTAGGAGTAAGTGTGAGATTTGGAGGTCTGGGAGGGGAGGACACTCGGATTTTTCCTTAAAGAGAAACTCACCTGAAAGGGAAAGATGTCTTCTAGGGAAGTAAGGTGCTGGTGCAGCAGATATCAGACCCTGTCCTGTGCCTGTCCCCGACCCACCTTGACACCCCCTTGGCTCACCTCTCCTTTTCACTGTTGCAGAGGAAGGTGCCAAAAGGAGAGGCATAGGCATGTTCAAACAGCGCCAACAGCAGCCCCTCCCCAAACTCCAGCGACAGCGGGAACTGGCGGCCCAGCTGCCACACACAATCCAGGAAGAGGAGAAAGGTGGGTGCCTCGTGCTTGGGGCGGGCGTGGGAGAAGGCTGAGTGGGCACAGCGCAGCTGGAAGGGATGGCCGGCCTGGGGAGGGGCAGAGCAATGGGCACAAGGAAGTGGGGGTTTCTGGATAGGGGTGTAGGGTTGGGGCTGGGTGGCCACTTACCTGGATCCACTCTCGCTCCACCAGTTCCTGGAACCCAGACATGGTCCGGCTTAAAGGGTCCAGGATGAGTTGGGCCAGTGAAGTCAGAAGCAGGGTGCTGTCTGTGCCTTCAGTCCCGTGCACCAGGACACAGGCCCCTTCCCTGTGGGCCCAGGGCTGGTCAACAGTGGTAGGTCCTTCCCTGCCTGGGGTGGCTGGACCAGGAATAGAATGGGCCCAGTCTAGGCTGTATTTGCTTACTGAGATATGTGCTCAGGGATTTGTTCTCTGTCTCGTAGGGTGGGGGGGTCTTACCTCTCCATGCCCTGCGCCACTAGGCAGGCGGTGCTCAGTGCCTCCTTCACATGTGCCAGCCAGTGGCAGCCCTCTAGTCGATTAAGCCAGCGATCCATGCTCTGTTCCAGGTCCCCACATGCCTCCACCAGGCGCACAAAGCTCTCCTGTAGAGGCCGCCCCCTGTACAAGTGGGAGTCTTGTTATCTCTCCCCCAGCCCAAGCTCTGGTGAGAACAGCCTGAGAACAAATGCTCCAGACCAAAGAGGGAGACACAGAACCCTGAGAGGAGCACAGGACACTTTGAGGATCCCACCTAATCTGATGGAAATTATTCATATCCTTAAGGAGGATACCCAAGATTGGGGAGTCCTTGTCTGTTGGGGGTGAGGCACAGAATTACCTAGAGAAGGGTCATATAGCCCTCTGGGAAAATGCCCTGGGAAACCCCCAATTTGATGAAAGTATTACAGTATCCTTCAAGTACCCCAATCTGATGAGAGCAACACAGTACTCCCTGGGGATCCCCCAGCCTGACAAGAGAAACAAACACTTGGGATTCTGGTATCTGCTTCTACTTCCCATAAACTTTCTCTGATCAAGATCACCAGTGACCTCCTAACAGAAAATCTTTTTTTAATTATTTTTTATTTTTTCAATTACAGTTGACATACAATATATTAGTTTCAGATGTACAATATAGTGATTAGACATATATATATATATATATATATATATATATATATATATATATATATATATATATATAACTTACGAGGTGCTCACCCCATAAGTCTAGTACCCACCTGGCACCATTCATAGTTATACAATATTACTGACTATATTCCTTAGCTGTACTTTATATCCCCTGTTTAAAAGCCTTCAGTGGGGGCTGGCCTAGTGGCTCAGTTGGTTAAGAGCACGAGCTCTGAGCAACAGGGTCACTGGTTCGATTCCCACATGGGCCAGTGAGCTGCGCCTAAGCTGAGCTGCTGCTGAACTGCCAACAGGTGGCAGGATGGCTCAATTGGTAAGAGCACATGCTCCTAACAAGGTTTGTGGTTGGACTCCCACATGGGATGGTGAGCTACACCCACCCACAACTAAGATTGAACATGGCACCTTGAGCTGAGCAGCCCTGAGCTGCTGACAGGTGGCCGGATGGCGACTGGACTTGGGAACTGAGTTAGCTGCGCTCTCCACAACTAAGATTGAAGAACAACAACTTGGCCATTCCCCTTCCCCAATTCCCCAATAAAATCTTTAAAAAAAAAAAAGCCTTCAGTGGCTCCCCATTGCCTTTAGGATCGTCTAAGCTGATAATCATGGCATTCAAGACCTTTGCTCTGGCCACTGTCACCTCTTTAGCCCTACCTTTCTCTATCTCCACCTCACACTACACTCCCACCATACTTAAAGTACTTGCAGTTCCCCAAACAGGACAAATGACCAGGCTCTCTGCTCGTACATACCTGCAGTGCCTTCCACATGGAAAGTCCATTTCCCACCTTCTGGCTAACTCCCCCTCCTCTTTCAAGTCTCAGCTAAAGCATCCTACTCTCAGGGAAACTTTCTTTGGACTACCTGTACTAAGAGGGGTGCCTCCTCTGTGCTGCTACTTATCATACTGAACTCTGCCCGTTTCCTGCTGATTTCTCAGCCACGTCTGGCTGGCCACCATCTCAGCCTCTGTGTTCCATCAATGTTGGCTGAATAAATGAATCAAGAGAGTTTTGTATTCCGGAAAAGGGAAGCAGTACACTCTCCTCAAAGCACAAAAACTCCCTCAGGACATCACCTAGAGACAGAGGGGATACAGCTGTGCAGGTACAGCCCTTAGGGCAGGCTAGGACCAATGGGGAGGGGTGTGTGTGGGTGTGTGTGGGGGGTGCCCAGGAAGTAATAAGCTCTCTCAGTGGGGGTGTGCAAGTGGGGATGCCCACCTGGCGGGATGGCTACCAGGAAAGGCCTAACAGTCCTCAAGGTTCCTGGAAGACACTCCTTCCCCTCCTGTCTCCCCATACCCTCATCCCCATCCATGAGGAGTCCTGCAAAAGAGAGCCTAGGAGAGGATGGGAAGCCCCCTTACCTCTCCAGGGGCCGGTGCAGCCGTTTCCAGCCAGGGTAGGCGGCCTTGGCCTCGGTGCCGCCGCCAGTCAGACGGGCTTGTTTGGCGGTCTGGGCCGAGCGCGTGTCCACGATGAAGCCCCGGGCCCCATGGGGAGCTCCTTCCAGCACAGCTCGCAGCAGCTCCTCATCCTCAGCGCAGCGCCGCTTCTGGGGCCCGGTTAGGGGCTGGCTGGAACGTAGCAGCACCTGCGGACAGGGACTCAACTCTGGTAGCTGTACCCACCAGCCCTGGTTCAGGGACTCCGCTCAGGGTTGAGCCTACACATTGGAGCGATACAGAGCTGGCAGGAGCGGGCTGGGGCACAGGGGCCTCACAGGCGGAACTCGGGCCGGTGTTTGAGTGGCTTGCCGCCGGGGGCGGGAAGAGGGTGGGGTGCGGGGGGACCTGATGAGTAGACTGTGGGCGGGTCCTGGGTTGACAAAGAAGGGACTAGGCATTAGCGGCCCAGACCGCCAGCGGTGGGGCCCAAGATCCTAGACTCTGAAACCCGGGGAGGGGCGGGGCCAGAGTTGGAGAAGGCTGGATTGAGCGGAGTTGGTGGGGCTTGTCTGAGGCCTGACCGGCGCAGCCAGAAGGGCAGGCGGTGTAGCAGCAGCCAGGCAGCGAATTAGCCCGGCCAATGCAGAAAAAGGCCCAGAAAGGACGCGGTTGGTCCTAGCGGCAGAGTCTGGGGAGGGGCGAGGCTCACGGTTCCGCTGGGAGCGTGGTGGTAGCTGAGCACAGGGAAGCGGCCTCCCTGGCGGAAGCGGGCGCTGCGAGCCAGGGCATCGTCGTCCACTGCGCGAGGCACGATCACGGCGCGGGGGTAACTGGGGCACAAGCTGAAGTCCTGGTTCACCTCACTCAGCCGCCACGCGTTGGTCTTCAGCGCAAGGAGGTGCGAAGGCCAGGATTAGGGTACCCAGTGAGTGCCACGTCCCCACGCCCTTCCTAGGCCCCCACAACCGCACCCACCTCGCGAGCTACTCGCTGGTAGTAGCGTTCCGGCGGGTGGAAGTGCCAGGCGTCGCCCAATCTCAAGCTCTTGGGACGGTAGAAGAACGGATAGGAGGTGATGACTGATTCCAGGGAGGACAGCGCCTGGGGAAGGAAGTCAGGGGATCTGGGGAAAGGTCAGAATCATCTCACCCGCGCCCTTCCAGCCCCTCAGTCCCACAGCTCCCGTATCTCCAAGTACTCCAGACCACCCTGCATCCCCTTGCCATTGGCTGTGCTCTGGGATAACACTGGTTGCTGAGTACCCTTGCTCAGTAGCCCATGTTTACTCCTCTCGTTACCGGACGAGGGTAGCTTAAGGGCCTCGGGTGCACCCCTGGCGCACCTCGATGGAGCGGGCGATGTCAAGCGTCGCTTCCACGCCCTCTATGTCCAGCTGCAGCACGCGCAGGTCCTTACAGCGCAGCGTGATGGTGCCGGAGTCACCCGCGACCCTGAGGATGGACGGGCTTAGTTAGGCTTAGTGTCCCCAGACACCCACCCACACCCCCCACCAGGGCAGGAGAAACCATTTTTATAGGATTGGACGTTATGCGGGAGGATACCAGCTCCAACAGCGCTCGCCCTCTCCCCTCTCCCCGCGGAGCTGCGAGGTCCCCACGGGGACGGCCCCTCTATGCTCACCGCTTCTCGATTGAGTCGACACTACGCAAAAGCAGCAGCCACAGGTCTGGAGTTGCCTGGGGCCCTGGAGACAGCAGCAGGTGATGGCCTGTGACACACAGCGTACCGCGGAGCGGGGGCGCCTCAGAGCCCCTCAGGAGCTCGGCTTGGGCCCGGCCGGTACGGATCAGCTCCGAAAACTCCATTCCGCCTACTGTGGGCCTGGGGCCCAGCAACAAGACAGACTCCTGTAAAGTCAGGCAGGGCGAGCGCGGGCTCCGAAAGGGACAGGAACTGGCCGGGCAGCTGGCGACGCCGGCAGGACAGCTGTTAAGGAGGCCCTCTGAAGGAAGGGATTGCAGTTTCACAGGAATTTCCCCCTTTTATTGACAGCACCTCTTAGAGCACCCCCGTCAGAATCTGTTAAGGAAACCTCAATTTCGTCATCTGTGAAATGGGGAGAATAATCTTGCTTAAGCCCTTGACCTCGCCTGATTTGCAGGAGGCACTCAAATTTTTTTTTTTTTAGACTGGGGTGTTGGTACTCCAGCTGGCTTAAAAAAGAAAGAAAATACCATCTTTTCTCCTAAACCTGGTGGAAAGGGTGGAAAGCATAGGTGTGAAGCTGGAAACTGCCTACTTCCTATGTCTGAGGCTGGGTGGGGGGAAAAAATCCCTCGGTCCACCTTAAATTCAAGCAGCTGTGTAGCTAGCTCCTTCCTCCCCCCCCCCCACCACAGCTGGAAGTCCATGCCCGAGGGCGCCCTCTATGGGGACAACTTCTGGTTTAGTCCTGCCCTCTGGAGCCCCATCTCCTATCACTTCATTCTTTGACCAAATGTGAATTGCCATACACTGAGCTGAGCTCCATATTTGGTGACGGAACCCAAAGATGACTGAGGAAGGTTCTGATCATAAGGTTTTCAGTCTGGCAAGAGACACAAGCTGGTAAATTACATGAGATTAAACCAATTTTCTGGAGGACTCATCCATCTAATTCTTTCATTTCTCAAACACTGATGTCTACACCTGTGTTAAGTGCTGATTACTAAGAGGAATAAGACTGACTCCTGCCTTCAAAGGGCCTTCTGGTCCACTAGGTTCCAAACTCGTGTGTGTGTGGGGGGGGGGGGGGGGGGGGATGCAAAGCCCTTCTTTCCAAAAAAGAAAAAAAAGAAATCATAGGTGGACCCTCATAATATAATCATAAAATTGGAACTACTCTGGCCTGCCGAGTGGCTCAGTTGGTTAAGAGTGCGAGCTCTGAGCAACAGGGTCGCTAGTTTGATTCCCCCATGGGCCAGCGAGCTGCGCTCAAGCTGAGCTGCCCCTGAGCTGCCAACAGGTGGCAGGATGGCTCAGCTGGTGAGAGCATGTGCTCCTAACAACAAGGTTGCCTGTTCTCCCACATGGGATGGTGGGCACAACTAAGATTGAACGTGGCACCTTGAGCTGAGCAGCCCTGAGCTGCTGACGGGCAGCTGGATGGCAACTGGACTTGGGAGCTGAGCTAGCTGTGCCCTCCACAACTAAGATTGAAGAACAACAACTTGGCTGTTCCCCTTCCCCAATTCCCCAACACTGTTCCCCTTCCCAAATAAAATCTTTAAAAAAAAAATGGAACTACTCTATGAAAGGAACCAGACAATAGAGTATAAATTGTAAGATTCCAGACCAGCAGCATCAACTGGGATGGGAATTTGTTAGAAGTGCAAATTATGAGGCCCACCCCCAACCCCATATATACTAAATCAGAAGCCCTGGGATTGGGGCCCAGCAATATCTTTTAAGAGGTTTTCCAGGTGATTCCATGCTAAAGATTGATTACCATTAGAAAGCATTTTTTTAAAAAGTCTAAACTAATCTATGCTGTCAGAAATTAGGATAGTATTACTCTTTGGAGAGTAGTGACAGGCCAGAAGCACAAAAGATATACCAGCCTGGATGCTAGTAAAACTGTATGCTGCTTGACCTGGGTGCTGGTTACGTAAGTGTGTTCAGTTCGGGAGAATTCATCAAGCCATGTATTTATTTATTTTTTTTAAGATTTTTTGCGGGGGGGGGGATTTGGGGGAGGGGGAACAGCGTTGGGGAGTCGGGGAAGGGGAACAGACAAGTTTCTGTCCTTTTGTTCTTCAGTCTAGTTGTGGAGGACGTTGCTTCACTGGCCCATGTTGGTATTATCATTGCACTCTTCCTGGGTGAGGCAGTCGCTCACCAGCCATTGGATGGCCACTCACGGTGGCTCAAGAAAGCGCATGCCAGCTGCCGGCCAGCCCCACTGCAGCCTATGCCATCACCAGTGACTCACAGCAGCCCAGCTCCAGGTCTAGCTGTTGTTCACCATTTTAGCTGTAGAGGTCACAGTGTCACTGGCCCTCATGTGGGATCCAAACCGGGGCCCTGCTGCTCAGACCTGGTATCCCAAGCCAACTCTTAACCAACGCGCCACTCGGCCAGCCCAAGCAGTGTATTTATGATAGGTGAATTTTTCTGTGTGTATGTTATATTTCAATAAAAAGTTTACAAAAGGGAACTGCTCTAGTTGAAGCCCTGGGAGAGGCCCTCCAGGAGAGGCAGGCCTAAGAACCCATCCACAGCTCTGTCCTCACCTAGCACACAGTCTCTGAGGGATTTCCAAGGGAACCTGAAGTTCCTTAGAGCACAGCTTAAAATCTTTGATCTGTCCTAACAGAGAGTCAGTGACTTATTGAGACCCCACAGCTAGCACCAAAACCCAAGTCTCCTGACTCCCAGGCCAGAGCTCTGGACACTATTCCTTTGCTGAAGGGCCAATGCCATGAGTGAGGACAGGGGGCAGCTTGTCAGCCTCCTATCCCCTCCCCACTCCCTTACTTGGGCCTTGGGAAAAGGGCCAAGACTCTGGTGTGGATGATGCTTTTCTTATCCTGCAGCAACTTCCTTTCTGGGAACTGGGTGTCTCCTTCTGGGCAAAGACAATAAAATTCATCCAAGGGGCCAGAGGAGCAGGGCCCCTCCTGCCACCACCCAGATGGGCATCACGTGGCTCCAGGGTTAGCAGTCCAGGAAAATCCCAGCCCTTTCACACTCGACCTCCCATACCCATCTACTTGCCCACCCTGACACACTCAGCCTCAACACACCTTGAACATTCACTATCACACACACACACACACACACACACACACACACACACACACACACTTTCTGGCACACTTCTTTCAGCTTCTGCCACCTCTTCCTCAGCCATATCGCCAGCCTTCCCCTAATTCCAGAGCTGAAGCCTTCTGTCACTCACCCCAAACACACCATGTCCCTGGGGCCACTGAAATTCCAGGCAGTGGGTGAAGAAGATGAGGAGGATGAAGAGGAAGAGAGCCTAGACTCTGTGAAGGCATTGACGGCCAAGCTGCAGCTGCAGACACGGCGGCCCTCCTATCTGGAGTGGACAGCCCGGGTCCACAGCCAGGCCTGGCGCAGGGCCCAAGCCAGATCTGGACCAGGGGGACCTGGGGCCATCTGCGGCTTTGACTCAATGGATTCTGCCCTTGAGTGGCTCCGACAAGAGCTGGTGAGTCTGGTGGGGGTCGGGGGGAGGCAGCCTTGCAGAGGGCCTTGGGGATGGCCCTCCTCAGGGCCCAAGACCATAGGTGAGGGGCAAGGATGAGAATGGACCCCACCTCCAGCATGACCCCTCCTGTGGCTGTGTCCAGGGCCAAGGAGCCAGGAGTGGATTTGTTCAGTGTTTTATTCAGGAAGACTTGCTGAAGGATTCCATTCAGTCTACTGACCTTGTGCTTCTTTGGCTCAGGAGACAGAGTATAGATGGAGAGGGCATGGCCTCCCCTACTTTGGGAATTTCCTATATCCCAAAGACACCGTGAAGTACAAAATGAGGCACTGACCACGCTGTAGGCAGAATCTGAGGAGGGAAATGTGAAATAGGATGCCCTTAACCCAACGTGTACAAATATAAAGATGTCCAGGCTCCATATTGGAGATTCCACTTAGTTATTTGGGATGGGGCCCCAGGCATCTGTATTTGTTTAATATTGGCTCCTTGTCTTGGTTTTAGAACCATCAGTATGGAGCAAGAGCAGAGAGATGGGGAAGGATAAAAGTGGAGTAGAGGGGGTGTGGAGGACACATCCAGTGCAAAGCCCCAGGGTGTTGACAGGAAAGGAAGAACAGGGCTAGCAGCTGAGGACTGGTAGCAGGCTGAAGTCCCCCTCTCTGCCACAGCAGGAGATGCAGGCTCAGGACCAGCAGCTGGCTGGGCAGCTGCTTCGCCTGCGGGCCCAGCTGCACCGGCTGAAGGTGGACCAAGCCTGTCACCTGCACCAAGAGCTGCTGGATGAGGCCCAGCTGGAGCTGGAGCTAGAGCCAGGGGCCAGCCTGGCCCTGGCCCCGCCACTGCGGCACCTCGGCCTCACACGCATGAATATCAGTGCTCGGCGCTTCACCCTCTGCTGAGGGCCACCTGCGTGCCTCCTGGGCCACCCACTACCTCTTCCCCAGCCCGCTGGGAAAGGGGGAAGCCAGGGGTGCCCCAGAAGCACCAGCACCTGGCGATGGTGGGGGTTGGTGGGTACACACTC